AGACCATTTTATTAATAACTATTATTGATGAATAAATCATGGTTGTTAACAGGGTTTTCTATTATAAAATTTTAAATATTTGAAGAACTTCGAATTGGAAAGCTTTTCTTAAATGAGACACAAGTTTTTTTAAGTTAATTAAATTCGCATTTGCTTTTAAAAACATTCGGCGAACATGTTTATTCTTATTAAAATTCCAGGAAAGCAGTAACCTCATTAGAAAAGAAATGTTTTTCAAAAATTAATAATTGAAACATCAAACATTTGCATTTATCTTCTTCACAACTAAAGCAGAACTATTGACGCTTCAAAAACAGTTTATAAATCGTATTTAAATGAACAAAAATATTTAAAATACATATATGATTTTTAACTATGGTTGATATGAGAAGTGTAGTTTTGTAATTTTTTATAACAGTTTTATCATTATCATTTTTGATATTATTATAACAATCTTCTTATTCCTAAACTTCTCATAATTAAAATATAAATAAGCAAGATATTTAAGCATTGGTTTTCTTATGAAACTTTAAATATTTAGAGGTAAAAATTTTGTTAATAAATGCTATTTCTAACTTAATAATTTTACTTTTATAAACATTTTACAATTATTTTAATCTTCAAAATATATTTTTTGAGATCAATAATTTAAGTTTTGCTCCATCAATTTGAATAAGAAAAATTTTAACCCAATATCTTATGTTATTGAAATAAAATATAAATATCTGTTTCCCATTATTAAATAAATAATTATGGACCAAAGTTTATCTACAAATCCCAGAACAATAAACAATAAATCATAATAATTTTATAAATATATAAAAACTAAAAAGGGTTTATGATGATCAAATTTCTTTAATATTTAATTTTGAATTTATTTAATATTAAACAAGAGTGCAATATTTACTAAATCATATTAAAAATTTAGCAGCTTCGATCTCAAAATGAAATAAGAAGAAAAGTTTATTTTAAGAAAGGTGGAAACTATCGAAGGTTGCACATTAAGCAATTACAAGACCTATTTATTATAATCCATGTAATGATTAAAGGTTACGATCATTACATGCTCCGAGTTCAAAGAAGAAATGGGCTATTTTTCTCATTTCTTCAATCATAAAATAATTCATTCTATAAATAAATTATATGGAGAAGCAAGCTAATAACCATATAAAATCGCTATTGGTTAGTAACGTGTTCGAATATTTTCAGTAGCTGGCATACAAATTTTAATTGTTTGCTTCAAGGCAGAGAAATACCGCATTAAATGAAGTAGGTTTTTATAATAAAAAATAGCTATTATTAACTGCGGCTGTTTCTTCACATTTTCAAATAAGACGCTCGTCGTGTGCGGTTAGGTGACATTTACTATAAAATAAGTTTTATGTCTCTTGGCCCAATTACGTAAATAAAATAGAACAAGCATAATTAAGTTATTACAATTTCCTTTAGAAAATAATCATAGTTAAATTATTAATTTTCAATTAGTAGTTTGTTTATTTTGTTTGTTCATTATTCATTTTCTTCCTTGTACTTCTCTTAAATTATAGGAACTATCTAATTTGGCAATAGAAACGAGCTCTTTTTCATCTTAAATTCAGTAACAAATTGTGAAAAAAGTAAAAGTGATATTTAAGATGAGTCATATATTTAATTATTGACTATAAAATATGACAAACTTTGAAGACGATTTCTTTTTTTAGAAATTATTTCATTGATTTTCAAAAAACAATTTTATAAAAATTAAAATTAAAGAAGGAAGTTTTTTCTCTTTCGTTCGTGTTACATTTCTGAGTTTTCAAACGAATCGCCTTTTTTAAGGATCTACAAGCACCTTTTTTCAACAATTACTTTTGCTGCTTTTATTATAATTTAGATTTTAGCATATTATAAATTTTAATCACAGCTTTTTTTCCATTTATGTCTACAATCATTTCCTGACAATATTTCCTAAATTTAAGTTTGAAATTAAAATTCCAAACTTTTTTAAAAAAAAGAATAGTCTAAAAGAATTGAGAACTCAAACAAGAAACTGTTTTGGTACTTCTTCAAAAAAAAAAAAAAAACTACCCAAATGTTGGCCAATTTTCCATTAGCTCTTATGTATTTAATTCTAACTATAGAATATTTAAAAAAAATCATTATAAATCTAAAATGAAAAACTTTCAATTTCAAAAATGAAGTTTTCCAATTTTAGAAAGCAAATTTAAAACTTCCTTGAAGAGTTGAAAATTCTAACAAGCTTTTTTCTTAATTTATCAAGTAGTTTTTCAGAAAAACAACCTTAATTAACTTGGCCATTTCAACATTTATTTCTAAAAACGATTTCGTAAAAAAAATGCATAAATATGAAGAGAGAAAAAACTTTAGCTTCTATTTTATGCTAAATTTTGTTATAAATTCAGTTTGTTATAAATTTAACCACCGTGATAAATTTTCATAATTCTTCAATAAAAAAGAGCTTCACAAAATATATCAACTCCTTAAATCAATAAAAACTATTTTTACCCTAACCACAAGAAGCAAACTAAACTTTTAAACAATTCTTTCCATTGTTTTAAGGCTTGGGGCATTTAAAATCAATGTTAACATATCGGCAAAGAACAAGATAAGTCTATTTATCTATATGCTAATTTGTAAATAACTGCTTTACCTATAACGTAAAGAGGGCAAAAAATAAACACTCAAGGAAGTTACTATTAAGTGTTTAAATAATAACTCTTGTGTTTGAGTAAAACAGTAAGAATCACTATAGTAATCCTACTTAACGGTTGGATACCTTTGCACTTTAACCTAGCTAAAGATTTTAGTATACATTTATGATATCGAGCAGGAGAGAACACAACAGGTTTTTAAACTTGATATTCAATCACTCAATGCCGCTTCTAATATTCTGTTTTGTAATTGTGGCTTCAAGGTTTCAAGGATGTTAATAATATAATTGGGTTTTGTTTTAACTTCAGTAGCTCAAAAGTCTCTATAATAAGGTTGCCTTGCATTATTTATCTTTTAGTAAACGATTCAAATGGAATAAGTTCATAAATTATTGACTCATGGAAGGAAGAGCGGGATTAGATAGCCTAACATTGCTATTTAATAGAATCAATAGAATAAACACAGATTAATAACTGTTCGTATTTCATTTTAAGTTGACCAGACACTGTCAAAAAATCTGTTATATTTACAGAAAAAAAAACTGTCAGCTGGTGTGCTAGTATGAAATCGTTTATTTCACAGAAAAATACTGTTATTAGAAAGCAGGTGCCGGTTTTTTAAGCAGATAAGTATTACTATTTTAACAACTAAACTGCTACTTTTACCCCAAAAAAAACTTTATAAAATAGGTACGTCAGCATTGTGGTCGAGCAAGGCGGGAGTAATGCCGGAACTCGAACCCGGGACCCCTCCTTGAGAAATTTGCGCTCTGTTCCCTGCACTATGGCAGCTCCATTGTTTGGTTATGAAGAAATGTCTAAACTTAAAATGTCTAAACTTTAAAAGACTTATTGAAATCATATTTAAATGCAAAGCATGTTTAACCCTATATTGGTTCACCCCTATAAAAATGTCTGGCAATTTAACTTACCGGACAATAATATCTAAAGTCAGATAATAATCAGATAGCTTATCAATTCAATAACAAAGTCGAATTACCATTTTATTTATAAAATATATTCAAAACCGTAAAATTATTTCTGAAAAGTAAGAACAAGTGAAGAAAATTATCATATAATGATTTGAAAGAGGAAAAAAAAATAAAGTGATCTTACTGTAAACAAAACTGCATGACAAAAACTAGAATTTGAATAGACAGTTTTTATCCGATTTTTTATGATTAGGCAGTTTTTATGATTAGAGTGAAAAGCAGAAGAAAATTGTTTAATCAAAAAGAACTTTAAACCGCCAAATATACCGAGATATTTTGTAATATAATTACATAAATAAATTAATAAAACTGGTAATTAATTAAAAACGGGATCGTGCGGCTAATAATAAAAAACAGAAAATATCAGTATTTATATTTAGTAAGATTTTCTATAGAAACTATGGTTTTTTACAGTAAAATTTACAGTTATTTTTTAGAGTGTACAAATAATTTTTTGTGTAATCGTGTAAATATTTCAATCGGAGAGTGTGTTTTTACCTGCAAACAAGCGGTTTTTCTTACTTATATTACCTTCTTTTTATCAAAAAATAAATCAGTGAATACTATTTTAATAATTAAAGTGAAATTATTAATAAAATTTTTCAAAAAAGTCAAATTATTCCTTTTTAAAAAATAAGTTATCAATTATTGCTAAAAAAAAAATCACCTCCTTCAGAGGACGCTATACTACGGGAGAAACTTTTCATGACAAATTCTTTTTCACCTTCATAAGTAATTTAAAATTTAAAGTATAGAGAAAAAGTGATTTCAGGCAAATCTAGAGTCAGCCACGAAGTTTCAATTGCTGGAAAAGATCAAAAGCATCAAAATGCAAATGCAATTCAAAAACATCAAAATACAAATGCAATTTAAAAACATCAAAATGCAAACAAGTTATGGGAAGAAAACTTTCCCATTACGTAATCCTTCAGCACAATAACATAAAGGAAACAAAACAGCATGAAACAAATCGAAATGCGAAAACATAACTAAGTTAATACAAGTCAAATAGACTGGGGTTCTTTTTCTGCCTCACTTGTTATTATCTATCATATAAATTGTCTATCATGTAAATTTTCTGTCACAAAACAACCTTCTTTGTGCTTCAAAGCTAATAAATTGCTTTGAAATCATTTATCTTGCAAAATTATTGTTTTATTTTTTTATTTTCATTGAAAAAACGCAATCCTTATTTTTTTTTCCCCAGATATTGATGAATATCTTCATAACAATTTAAAAATGTGTCTAAAACTTATTTTTATTTATGCTGTCTATTTCTATTTTTCATTTAAATTTTTTTTATTTATTTACTTAATTTTTTTTCAATATTATGAAACTTTTTTTTATTTCTTTTCAGGTTGTGCCGCTCTTTATGATAACTACCCTTCTCGAACAAGTCATTCGCTTTTGCCAAAAGAAGCCTGTTTTCAGAGTCAACGATACAATGTCTAATGTTTTTAATGGGTTTCTTATGGACCTCTCCAAGTATGACTTTCGTTTGTTTGCTTGTTTGTTACTCAGTCTTAGAGAATTTTGAAGGAACAACAGGGGGGAGGGGGATAAGAGGAAGTCGTGTTCGCTGACCGTAAAAACAATGACACATGTCAATTTTGAACATCATTAATAACATCCATCTGATCCCAACTCAAATGCATCACCCAAAAATAAATAAGGAAAACTATTATGCAGTCCATTTTGAAGGGAAATATTCTTAAAAAATATTTTAATGTCGACTGATATTCTTTTTACTACTAACATTTACGTTATTGCAAATCAAATATAATGTAAATGATTTTTAATTTTATAGTGTCCAATACTTGTCTAATTTTAACTCAGATCAAGGTGAGATCATGAAATAATTGTGCGTTCCTGCGTGAGTCTCTCTTATAAATCCAGGAATGTTAAAACTAAGATCTTGACAGTGGGTGGAAGAGGGCTTTTTAAGCAACCGATCCGAAATATCATTCGGAAATTCAGGAGAGACGTTTGAAAAAGGAGTTTCTCTCATCGGTTTAAAATAAAGCATTATTGTAAATAAAACTAGCTTCGAATTTTTTTATTTATTTTTTATAACTGAAGTTGAACACCCGACCCAATTCTGAGTTTACGACTATCAATGTTTAACTCTTTGGCCTTGTAATTTTGAACCCAATCCAGAAGACAAGATTACTTCTGGATCAAGTATTCATACAAACTAGCCTCGGTGGAGAACTATTTGGGGGAACTAACTAGCATTTGCGTTTTACGAAAACCACCTATGGTTAGAACTATGGCAAGAGGATACTAACCCATGATCCGTCTACCTCAAAGGATATTTTTTGGTCAGCGCTATGCTAAGTGTGAGCCGGGAGCAGGGTTTATATCAACCAGCCGCAGCTGGAATTTGAACCTGGATCTCCTCATTGGGAGGTAAACGATCTATTCCCGAAGCCACCACCCCGGCCAGCGACAGAGTTGTAAAAAAAAAATAAAAGGAAGGGGAAAATAAAATAAAAATATGAAGTTTATTGCACGATTTACAGTTATCAATTATTAATTTGTTATATCGTGTAAGCTGCTCACAGATCTGCTAGGCTACACGGATGGCCTGTGAGAGCTACATCACCAAATCAGTATTCCTAAGGTTATCTGTAATCCCGTGCTCATTTTGTTAATAGTTGCGTTTTTGAAACGTGTTTGTATGTGACAAAATATTTTAAATTTAATGATAATTTAAGTAGAAAAATTAACTTATGTCCAAAAAGTAAAATTAATGAAGAAATTTACTTGAGTTAAATATTTTTTCATAATCTTGAGTTAGCCGCAATCAATAGCCTAATTTTTGTACTAAATGATAATGAGAATAGTTCATATTTTTATAGATTAACTTCTACGTGTTTTACTTAATCTAATGAATATTCATATGAAATAATAATACGGCAATATTGGAATTATTTTAGTGTTTTAAATTGTGAAGCTTTTCAATTTGGTGCATGATTTCGTACTATTTATAACGAGTGATTTAATGATTACTTTCTTTTTGTTTTACCCCTACTTCGAAGAAGTACTCTTAAGTATTACAATAAATAACACAAGAAATTTTTTAAAAAAAATTTAGAAAGTTTTTTTTCATTACAAATACTTGATGTGTGAGATGTTTTCGATGACAAACATCGAATTTTTATTAATCAATTTTACTCTCCGCAGTTTGTATATTTTCACAAGACAGATGCTTCATAATGCTACATCAATGTGTTCTTTAAATTTTTGAGGAGTTTTTGGTAGCAGTGATTCATAAAACAATGACATAGTCATGCGGGTGGAAGGTAATTTACACAATGGCTATAAAATCTCCTGACCTCTGCCAGAGTTCCTTACATCAAAGGCCCATTTATAAGTATTTATCTTTAGTCGATGCCGAGAACACTTCAAAAACTTAAAGAATGCATTAGTGTAGTATTAGAAACCATAGTTTAAAACTACAAAATCTGAGACTACCGTGAAAATGATTATTTATTGGACATTTTTCGTGCGACAAAAGAGTTCATTTTTCTTTTATTTCATGTATTGAATTCTTTCGTGCATTGAAATTCTACCATTTTTAACCAATCAAATAATGATGTTTCAGATATCATCTTCAAAATAACAATAAAGGCAGTATCGCTTTTTAATATTGTTCCATATTTAAAAGCTTTTTGCAACATTTCAAACGCTTTCGTAGCGGAAATTTCATTGCGAAAAAAAAGTTAATGCATGTACTTTGCTCAATCAGCTTATTCGCTGTTCGGAAATTCGACGGAAAATTTCGAAATTCGACGGAATGAAAGTTCGTCTTTCACAAAAAACTGATTTACCTTTAGAGAGGGAAATTAAATGACTTTCTGTCTGTCTAAAAAAAAGTTTATACAAGTCGCAAAAGTGTTTGATTAAAGTTTGCAGTCGATATTTATACTAGATAACAATACTTGATATATCGATATCTTTATAATAAATATAAATGAGTATAAATAAATATAATTTATATAATCACAATAAATAAATACATAATTTATTAATATATATATATTCTGTAGAATTCCATTCAAGGGAGCTGAAGTAATCGTATATGCATGGATTTACAAAAATTATAGATTAATAGACCTACCATGGGAATCTCCGTGGACTTGGGTATTTTGTTGGTTTGCCACGGACTTCGGTTATTACTGGATGCATCGCATGATTCATCGTAAGTATCTTAGAAACTTCTTTATATAATAAATAATTTTAACCTAAATTAGATTACTTTATTATTTTAGAAGGGATATATTGTTACATTTTGAAGATTTTGCACAACTTATTTGTCTCAATTTTTTTTCAATTTCCTTCATGCAGTTTAACAGAACGGACAAAATTAAACTGTGTCTACAAATTTTATTTTGAAATTCCAATTTATTCGCAAGTTGTTACAAATTTACTTATTAAGTGCTTTATATTATTTTTTGAAATTTTTTTGGCTTCAAATATTGACAAGTTGTCCATTGTTGTAGAAAATTCATTTTTCCATTATGAGATCTTTAATTCTTTATTTTATAAGTTTGCGCTCGAGTAGATGTCTTATCAAAAGTAACGAAACGAAATATACATAGAGAGTGATTATATGTTGTCAGCTATAAATCTTAACATTCAAATTAGAAATTTTAAAAGTTAAAACCTAATAAATGGCGATTAAAACCATACACTATTTGAACAGTTACAAGTCTCGTCGACCAGTAAAATCTTTTTAATTTATTTATTTTTATTGAATACCGCAATCTATTTTACTTTGGTTAACTATTGTTCAAGTACAGTGAAACTGTTTTTGTGCGGTCCTTTTTTATGCGATTTTATTTTTGTGCGATTTTTTTGTACGATTTATTTTTATGCGGTATATGAATCTTAGCGGCGCTAGCACCAGTTTAATGTTTCCTATTAATGTACATATACATGTTGTGGACGAACTCTGATTACGTGCTCTCCTTGACAACGATGTATCTGGACTTCGCGATGCTCTGTTTATTTACCTTCATTAGTTCATTTACTATCGTCCACTCCATTTTCTCTTCTTTTTAAAATTTATTCTGCGCTAAACAAGTTGAAGTAAATCAGTAAAAAATCGCCTGCTGTGTTAAAATACTTAGTATTTTAAAATTAAACCGTTATTTTTATTTTGTAAATTCTCGTCTGCGCGTATCTCAAATACTGTAAACGCTTCGTATTCGGAGTTTTATACACGATTTATGTGATTAAGGATTTATTTTATAGTGAGATTAAAGGTAAATAAATTAATTACTTTTGTTTTTATTTGTATGTAGTTTTTACGATTTTTATTTTATTTCTTAATCATAAGTACTCCCTTAAATGGACAGGAAGAACCGGAATCTATTACAGCAGATAAAATATATGCAGAGATCCAGATTTCGAAAAAATTGGAAACGCATTTTCTTAAAATAGATACCAATGGGGAAAGACGCTTGAAATTCCAAAAAGAGCTGAGATCATGCATGTCTCACTATCGTGACGTTTAATTGACCAGTCGACCGTCGTCACAAAAACTGATCACTGACTTTATGGTACCAAAAAACAAATCAATTGAAATCCTATCTTCAAGCGACGAACGCGATTTTCAACTAATTCATTCCAAGAAGATGCGCGTTTTGGATTACGACAAGTAGCAGCAAACTATTTAATGTATAATTTGAAAACTTCTCCATGTATATGTACAATGAAGAATTAAATATTTTTACAATTTCTTTAGGTGTAATTTAATTATTTAATTTAATTTAAAGCATTCTCACATCTATTTCATGAATCATTGATGAATTTTCTGAGTCCGACATTTTTTATGCGGTCCCCATCTACCGCATAAAAAAAGTTTTAGGTTGTATATCGTACAAAGTTGTTATTATATGTAAGAATTTATAAAATTTTCGAATATTTTTTTTGTACGATTTCTTTTATGCAGTCCCTATCCACCGTACAAAAACAGGTTTTACTGTACAGATGTTTATTTTTCTAAACTAGGTAATCGTCTATTTCCCTACGATTAACATAAAAGCAAAATATTCTTACATAAAGCTACAATAACTGCATATTTTGAAAAAAAATATAATGTGTTTTTGTGTAAAATATTGTTGACACTTAAGAAAAAGCTATGTTGAATAAGAAATAAATACGAAGTTTGGTGAGGGGAGCGAATAGGAAGCAGAGCCATAGCAGCTTGAAAAATCCTCACATACTGAAACTTCAATCTCAATATCAATAGGATCATGAAATTTAAATTTATAATCTATTAAACTAAAAGTTGTATTGCTCAATACTCTTAATTTCAAAACCTCGCTGTAATAACAATATCTTTTGTTATTTCTCAAACAATAGCTCTTCACATTCATAATTGCATTAAATTAAAATACATACAACTTGTGAAATTTTGGATAATGTTGAATTTTAGCAACTTTAACACGGTGTTCAATTCGTAAATTAAACCATTTTAAACTTCATTGCCTGATGCTATGGTAAAACTTTAACGGAAACCATAATTCAGTTTAATACTTTATTAAAGCTGCAAAAAATTTTCACGATGTTATGGTTCAACAATGATCTGATTTTCATTAAACCTTTGAACCAACCATTGAACCTTTAAACAGAATCAAACTTTCTTGTATATTTCAATAGAGATTAATATTCTGTGGGCCATACATGAAACGCATCACACACCTGAGGACATGATGTTTACTTCGCCCATGAGAAACCACATCTTCTTACTTCCCATTCACTGGGTAAGTCTGAACAAAGAGGGGTGAGTTATTTTATTGATTGAGTGATTTTAACCTTTGTGTCCTACTTAATATTTTCATTCAGTAAAACAAATTCAATCTGAAAATATGCAATTATTTGTTTCTTTTGAACATTGGGCATTTAGGGTAAGTTGTATAGATTTTGCACAATAATTATAGGCTTCACGTAATTTTATAAAATAGGTTCACGCAATTTCATAAAAAAAAGCTGTTCCGCTATTTTCCACGCCATAACACGCTAGCTCCTAAAAAACTCCCCTTTTTTAAATTGTTAATATATTATTCACACACTATATAATCACTATACTATATAATCTTACTAAAATGTGACAAAAAAAATCGTAAATTTATTAAATTAATCCGAAACAAACTATTTTATAGCGTGTGAAATAAAATGTATAATAAGTTAATAAAATTTATGATAAAATGTATAATAAATTTAAAGTTTTACGTAGCCAGAATGGGATGTAGTGGAAATTATTCTGACAACTTTTGGTTTTTATGAAAATGCATGAATCCTATTATTTTTGAAAATTCAAAAATTACTTGAAGAAAAATAAATTACTACACACAATTACAGAGAATTCCATTATCTGGAATCTTATAAAAAAATAGAAATCGTCTGCTTGATGACTAATTGATAGGAGGTTGAACATTTTTATTTCCTGAAGAACGAATTTTCAAATAATGTTATATGGTGCATTTCATGCATGTTATGTATGTACACTGGTGGACAAAATTAAGAGATGGAAGACATTTTCCCAAATATCTCAAAAAATACTGAATACTAGGAGGCTTCGCCCCCTGCTCGCTGGCGCTCGCCTACCTCCGGAACTGCTGTCGCAGTTCATTTCGGATTGCTACGCAATCCGATGCTCGCTCATTGGATACGTTCTTAACGTCTAGCTTTTGTATACTTTTTTGAACACTGAAGTTCCGAAAACTTTTCACTGTANAATAAATCCAATATAGTCTGAACTTAAGGATAAGAGATGACAATAAAAGTGAGACTTGTACAGTGTGTGTTGCCTCTAGTATGGTGTATGGTCACCCCTGACAGACAGACAGCATGCACAACGAGTATGCATGCTGTTAATAAGGGAGTTAAGGAGGGCTTGCGGAAGATACTCCCATTCTTCCACCAGAGCAATTTTTAACTCCAGAATGGTTCTGGGGGAGGTTGGCGCGTCTCAATAGCTCTCCCAAGAGCATCCCAAGCATGTTCAATAGGATTCAGGTCAGGGGATTTGGCTGGCCAATCCATTCGTTGAATATCCTCGCTTTTCAGATACTCATCAACCATGAGAGCCCTATGTGGTCACGCATTGTCGTCCATAATGTTGGAGTGGTTTGTTACTCTTCTGAAAACATTAAATTGACAGAATTAAGTTTCGGTCGTGTGTCGGCAATAGATATTTTCTTTTCAGATAACGTAAGTGACATCATCCGTTAATATCATTATGGAATCTGTATGTAAGGCATGCATTGTTGTAAGCATGTTTCTTGTCTTGCCTCTTCACTATGTCACTTCACAGTGTTGTTGTTTCCGGTGATGTATTAAATTTTTGTTAAGCTGTATTTATAGTTAATATCTTCAGTTGTACGCTGTATCGAGATGGTACTGTATGAAATAAAGAAATGTTTAAATCTTCAAGGCTCTTTATGTGAGTTAACACTTTCACTGGCTACCGTGCTTACTCCGCTAACGCATCAACACATAAAAATGAACTCAGGGCCAACAGCGCCCCTGAAAAGACGCACATAGGGCTTTAGGACCTCTGGGCATTCACGGAACCATTGTCAAACACATGGAGCGGTGTGCGGGTATCTTGCATGTGCGAAAATGCTTTCCATCTCTTAATTTTGTCCACCAGTGTACTTAGTTGCTGTAACTTCCAAAAAACTTACAATTTTGAGAAAATAACTTTAAATCAATATTTTACTCACTATGATAAATTTTATGAAATACAAAGCACAAAAATCATGTTTTTTGAATGGGGGATTTCTTTATTTAATAGTCTGAAAGGTGAGATCGCTAAAGGTTAATGTATGTATTTATTTATTTATGTAAATACTTGTTTATTTTAGCAATAATTTAAAAAAAAAGTTGTCTTTAGATAGTCTGTGGTACGTTCAATGGTAAAACAAATTAAATTATGCATTTATAGAATTATACAAATTAATTAAAATATGATAAACGAGGAAAAGTGTTTTGGATAGAACTGACTCCCAGAAAAACGGCTTTCGACTTTTTTAGTTTGTTGGTATCTTTTTGGCATATTAGATGTCTAGAAAAATGTGAGTGTGTAAAATGCGCATTTTAACCAAAATCCTCAAAAACATCGAAAGTTTAAAAAAAAATCTTTGTAAGTAGCAAAATGCTCTGCATTTCCCACTGAAATATAAAATAATATTGGCTTCTAAAACTATAAAACGTTTAAAAAAGGTTGTATGTGAAAATTTTTGATATACTAGGAAAGAGTGAAAGAATAAAACGCAATTTTTTTGGGGGGTAAGGGGTCTTCTATATTAAAAAATCATCAAAAATTTAAAAAGAAATCCTATGTGGTAAAAATTTAAACAGTATTTCAAGTTGGAAAATAATATAATATTTTTTTAAATGAAGCATATTTACAAAGATTATTCACATGTGACATCCGTTTGACTACTAGGAAAACATACTAGGAAAATAACAAATAATTGTTAATATTTCACAAAAAAAGGTAGGCAATTGTTTGCGACTCATTTTATGGATAATTCTGAATCTAATTTTTAAACGGCTCATAGATATAATAAAAATTATCAAATTTATAAAAAAATATTAGACTCAAAATGCATCATTAACATACCAAGTCTCTTCATTTATAATTATTTCCTTTTTTCTATATTTCCTTTTTTTTTAATTCTTTAAAATTAATTACCGATAATTTGCATTTGACCTGTTATCTATAAAAATTATTCTATCTTTTAAATATCAAAGCCAACATATTAAGTTTAGTAGAAACGGTAATCGCTTTCTCTTACCTAAACTGTTAGAAATTTTGGAGCTGGTTGAGCCATAACATCCGTCAAACTCGTTGAAACTTAAATATTGCAAACCAGATCATCGTAATTCTTAAACTTAGTTGCATGATACTTTGGTTGAACCTGGAAAACCTGGTAAAATTACCGTATTGTATAGTAATAAAAAGAAATTTAAATAAAAAATAATAATTTTGGTAATAAAACCAAAATATACGGTATTTTAATAATTGATTTAGTAATTTTTCCGTTAACATGGTAACGGTTTAGCAGAAATTTTAGTTTTCGAAATTATAGTTCTTATAACCACAAATTTAGTTAATCCCAAAGTGGGATATAAATTTAACCGAATAAATTATTTTTATGCCATGATCAAAAGTATAATGCTAAAATTACCAAATTTTATACCGTAGTATAAAACTATATTTTATAGTTAATTTTATCAAAACCGATGATAAAGCGCTTCGGTAAGAATTATCGAGCTTTTTGGTGCTCTCATTGGACCAGAATCACCATACATTTTTCCATCTGGTAGTTTTAACCATACTTTTTTTCTCGATATGATTCAAATTAAAATTTCATTAAAGACTCTGCTAATTTGCACCGTATTATAGCTAAACGTTGAACCGAATTTTCTGAGAGTGTACACATTAACTGACACTACCTTTAAGCATATTAAAATAAAGCTGAACAATAGGAAAAAGCAAATACAGCATAAATCAAGTTGCTTAGCTTTATTCTATTATAGCGCGAAGTTCATTCCTCTTTCCCTTATATAGGGTAAACTAACCAGTGAAGGAACACTTAAGCTTCGCTTGCCTTTTAAAAAATCCTATTAATTTCAAAATTTTATCCTATTAATTTTAAAATCCCATTAATTTCAAAATTGAATGACAGTGTAAACATATTTGTTACTAATGTAAAAAAATTGTAGAGAACTTTCATAATATTGTTTTAAAGTTTTGGGGGTTCAAATAACAAGTAGTAAGAAGACCAAGTGAAGGAACAGTTCTTACCAGCGAATGAACGCCCAGTAAAGGAACACTTAATTTTGGTTACTCTTTAATGCTCTTTATGAATTTATAAGCCATACAAATATTTAAAAACAAGCCCATTCCTAAAATTATAACATATAAATACTTGGAAAATGTTAACTTTTTTTTGTAATCATGAATTGGAAATTAAAATGTCAACATATTAACACATACTGTTCATTCACTGGGAAATCTATGCCCAATAAAGGAACATGCCTGTTCCCTCACTGATTAGAAGTTTTTTTTCACATTTTTAACATACTTTTGATGCGGAACATCACTAAAGGTACGAGAAAATTAAAGTTTATCTTTTATTTCCATTAACTTAGAAAAAAAAACAGTAAAGGAACACTTGTTCCTTCACTGGTTTTTCATCGTTTGGTGATCCAGTGAATAAACACCCCTTTATCTCAGTACTTTACAATGTGATGATGCTTAAAAAAAAATTAAACGTAATTTCAATAACTATATTTTGCATTCTCTTTTTCTCAGTGAGAAAAATGAAACTATGATATGCAATTAATTCCACTTCAAACATATAAATACAAACACGCACCTTATAATTTTTTCAAAGAAACAAGGTGTTGCAGAGATAATAACAAATTCAAAAAATTTTCCAGAGAAGTCTATTTGAACAGGTAATCCAAAACATTGCTAGCTGACTTCCTATTGTTTTGCAGTAAGCTATTGTTACCAATCAATCTAAAGAAAAACTTTCAACTTCTTATTTTTCATCAACATATATGAAATGTTCCTTCACTGGTTGGCTTACCCTACTAAAGTGACCAACAGTTTTGCGATACCACTTATTGGACTGCAAATTAAATAATTATAATTCATGATAAATGGACACAATTGTAGCATTGTTTCGCAAGCAATAAATGTATTTTCTCAATCAAAAACCTTTATTTTTTCTAGATTACGTACATGCCGATGGCATTTGCGATTCCTCCAACAACCTACCTCGTTCATTACCAAATTAGTATTATTTACCAGTACTGGCTCCACTCTGAAGTAAGAAACTTAAATTTTGTTTCTAAATAATTATTATACCTTTTATAAATACTTCTGATTAAAAAATCCTTTTTTTTTCAGATCGTCGATAAATTGCCCGCACCCTTAGAGTATGTACTTAGTACTCCTAGTCACCACAGAGCGCATCATGGTAATATCTTTCTAACTACATTCCTTAAAAATATATCCTGTAAAATACATTCTTCAAAAAAAATCCTTTAAAATACTTCGGTTAAATGTTTAGAATTCAGTAAGAGACCGGGTATTTAAACATCGAAGCAATATGAAGTTTGTTATAAAGCAAAAACTGCTTTGTTCTAAATTACTTACGCACTGTTTAACGTTTCGAAGCATGTTGGACCATAATATCGTTCAAATAAGCTGCAAACTTAACATGTTTGGAAATTGAACCATATTACTGTACTTCTTAAAATTACTATATATGGTTGTCTAGCTATGTATTGTATGCTATGGTTCAGCTTGAATGAAAACACGTTCTATATAGCAACTTATTAAGATTGCACCATATTATGGTTCCATGTAATGATATTGGGATAAAATGTGGAACTGAAAATGTTTACAGCCAATGTTAAAAATCAATTTTTTACTCAATATACTTTACTTTCATCTTCATTTTAATTAAATTGTTTTGTAAGAAGCATTGCATTCTACTAAAGATAGATGAAAAAAATTTGGCTTAAAAGAAAGACATAAATAAAGCACAAATAAATGTTTTGAAAAACGTTGGATCTCAATATAAAAAGGTACACATTTTAGTTTTAAAAAAATTATTCAACATAATTTCTTTGTAGTTTACATAAGGGGATTTTTTAAAATGCTATTGTTTTCTCAACGTTCTAAAAAGCGTTAACGACACCAATATAAAATGTTTTGTCACAGTCTACATAATAGAAGTTCATAGAAATTTCAGTTTTTTTAATAATTTCAGAAAATAATTCAGAAGATGAATTCGGTGTAGTGACATAGGGAACATCATTGAAATTTATGCCCTAACTCACTGAATTTCGCCATTGCAATGTCAAATTTGTAAGCTGGCGCCTAGATAAACGACGGAATCATTCGTCAATTGCGGCGCGCATCACGAATAGCATTACGAGTACAATCTATTTACGATGTCATTTCTGAGAGAGTCAGTATCAATACTCATTCTGCTAAATCATTTACAAATCAATTGTTCCTTTGTTTGTTCTGTTTTTCCTCTTTTTTCCCTCTACTACTGTGGTTTTTCTAGTTTTGTGTTGCTCTTTTATTTTACCATTTTTCGTTGTCAACTTTTCCTTTTATATTTCAAATCACTTCTGTTTCATCTCATTCACGTCTCGCAAATCTTGAAAATGGGCACCTGTTTTTGAGACATGTCGACTATTATTTCTCAAGCAAATGAAGTTTTTAATCAGGTAATATCTTACCGCTTCAGTTTCGAATAGCGTATTATAGGGGATAGAGCGTTCGCCTTCCAATGAGGCAAACCGTGTTCGAATCTAGTCGCTACGAATGAAGGTTGCACTGACCACAGTGCTGACGTGAAATATCCTCAGTGGTTGACGGATTATGGGTTAGAGTCCCCTTGTCGTCAGGCTAACAGAGGCAGGTTCTCATGGTCTTCCTCTCCATGTAGCGCAAATGCGGGTTAGCTCCATCTAAAAGTCCTCCACGAAGGCAAATTTCTCCCAATACTTAATCCAGGAGTTGCCTTGTCTTCTGGATTGAGTTCAAAATTACAAGGCTATGGAGTTGAACATTAGTAGTCGTAACCTCATAAAAGGGGTTGGCTGTTCAACGACGGTTATAAAAGCGTATTATAGTGAGTATTTAGTGAATTATGAATGAACTACTCACACTGAACCAGTTTGTAAATCTAAAAAAAAAATCTTTCAAAGCTTGTAATGAGATAAACCGTAACGTGATACGGGAATTATCACATTATTTTCTTGTTTTTTATATATTTAACTATTACAAATTAGAACCTTTGAGGATCATAATCGATATCTGACATCTAAACATATCTATTCATTCTATTACATTACTTTTGAATCAGTATTATATTATTTACATTTTTTCCAGTTTTATTTGAGTGAGTAATTTTTTTCTATATGAATATGCAGGTTAAGGTTGAAGGTTTTATCAGGGAAACTATTATGTTTTCAATCAACAAGCACTGAAACTAAAGTGGAAATATTTGTTTCTAGGTCGTAATAGACGTTATATAGACAAAAACTTCGGAGGTTTTCTTATAATATGGGACCGCATATTTGGAACGTTTGAGGCTGAAGATCCCGAAGAAAAACCACTCTATGGTTGTACAACCCAGATGAAATCATTCAATCCTTTGATAATTCAGGTACTTTCTAATAAGATTTTTTTGAGGAGTTCATAAGATTCATCCGCAATTTGTATTATAATGAAATTCACTACCCTCCATTTAGCCGCAAATTCTTGATTCAAAAGCAAAACTATTGTTGCATTGATTTGTTTGCATTTTATTACATCATTCATAAACTCCATCCATTATGCTTGAGTAGTTTGGTGCAATATGATGCTAGGCCGAATTTTAAAATTGTTCCGGATGGCAGTTTTGGTGAAAATATCATAAATTACTATGTAGATAGTAAAATGTTTAGAAACATTTCAGAATTATCTGAATTTTCACATACAACCAATACACAAAACTGTGTATTGGTTGTATCTGGATATTCTGAAAAGTTGTTTAGCAAAACTCTAGCAACAATGATAAAGAATAATTTAGTATAAAAAAATCCCCTTTGCAGAATTCGTAGTTGTCGCCTTAATATTCCTGATTTTTGTGCTTAGAACATTCCATTTTCAATGAATGCGAAAGCGGATTTTAAAATATTAACTTCAAAGAATCGAAAAATTTCTGTCTTGTATACATAATTCTTTTATTTTAGCTAATAATTTTAGTGGAAATTTCAAAATTCGATCTTTCAAACTTAGGAATTGTTCTCTAATGAATGCTGGTTCTACTTGAATCTATATGATTATGATATAGTTGAATCTGCATGGCTCAGTTCTATAACTTTAGCAACTGAATTCAATGTTCCAAACTTTTTGGGAGTTAAGTTATTTTATGGAAGAAACTCACCATTACTAAATTGTAATTAACACAACATCACTGATTATCAATTTTACATTATTAAATTTTAATCGTAAAGAACTCTGGGACCATACGAATATTTATTGTTTTCAGCAAATGAATAAAAAATCTTGCACATGTGAGTTTTGTAGTTTCAGAAATATTGATTGATCTCTTTCATCTGATTTTTTTTTTTAATAGTCCATTCCAATAAATAGTATAGTAATCATATCATAGAATTTTTAAATATTGAAATGAAACTAATCTACTAAATTAATTTCGTAAACCAGCATATTCACGGTGTGTTTTCACTTCGGGAATATTGAAGCCCAGCTTTAAAATTATTTGGCTAAGACAGCCTTAAACTCGAAAAGTTTTGACATACGCTTCTGATGCTTGGACAATCACAAAACTCGGTGGAGTCTGATTTTCTTGCAATTAATGAAAAGAATTGGAGATCAAAGATAAATCGGAAGTCATTATGGAGAAATCTTCAGAGGAAGCCATTGGCCCACATTGGGCTGTCTGACCAACTATGATAATGATGAAACTCGACAAGTTTTAATTAAATGTTGATATGAGGGAATGTTAACTAATTGAAACTGGCTATTTCCTTAATGCAAGAGTATTATAAAAATTTTCTTTACGTTGATCTCAAGCCATTATGAGTACATCAGTAATTAAATCATGCTAAAAATTTATAAAATTTCCTGCAATTTTGAAATTAAAATAGTATATCCTGTTATTTGTTTACTATAAAATTTTTGTTCTCTTAAACTTATATGCTCTTTTCAGTTTGTCTTTCATACTTTTTAAAAAGTAGTCTGGCATATGTATACAGTTCCAAAAATGTTTTAATTATTTTTTTTTTTAATATGTCGTTCTAGAGTTTTCCTTTGGTCCTCTACAAGGCCAATCAACTTTCAATTTTTGTCAAATAAAATAGCAGATATAATATGTTCTTAGTTAGATTTACAAAATTCTTACACTTTAATTAAGCTCTATAAAAATCAATTATTATATTTATTTTAAACCTAAATCAAAATTTTGTTTTTAAAAAAATAACGTTTTGAAATCCGTTTATTTATTTTTTTGATATTTTATCATTTTTCAACATTGAAATTAAAGTCTTCCAAGCAGTCATCATGACAAATAACTAAAATATATTCTCGATGAGGTTAGCTTGATTATATTTTAATTTAAATATATGTATGCGAAAAAAATAATATTATAACTACAAGGTCCACTCAAAATCTTAATCTCTTTAAAATATGTTTACTTTTATTAGTTAATTATACAGGGTGGTCCTAAAATACATGACAAAAATGCAAAAGTAGGTAGAGGGGACATAAATAAGCATATTTCGGATAGGAATGTGTGTCCGGTAATGGCACATTAAAGCGCTAGCTTGTGAAGCTGTACGAATCAAAGGAAACTGAAAAGACAAGTAAAGACAAAAGAAAACAAAAATTGATCAACAGTTTACAAGAGGTGCTCGAAAGAGCAGCCACCAACAGCGATACAAGATTCACAGTGACGGAGCATGGATCAGCGTGCATTGTAAAAGACGTCAGGCATGTCGAGCACATCTAAAGAAGCAACAGACAAGCGTTCAACAAGATCTTCTTCAGATGTGACTGTACTCTCGTTCACCAAGCTTTTAATATGACCCCAAAAGAAAAAAATCCGAGCAGGTTAAATCAGGAGAACGCGGTGGCCAGGGAACTGGACAGCCCGGTCCTGCAGAAAATGATGAATCCAGCTAGCAAGCTCTTTTATATGCCGCAGTCATCAGCGCTCCCTACTGGCTCAAGACGGTATTACCGCACATACTATCCTATACAAAATATGCTTATTTAGGTCCCCTCTACCTACCTTTCCATTTTTTACCTATATTTCAGGACCACCCTGTAGAGAACACCTATAACAATTATAGAGAACTTCCAATGTGACGCAATGAGAAAAAGTATTAAGGAAGTTTTAAATTTCGAAAAAAATATTGATGATTATCTAAAACAAGGTTGTTTTCTAAACTCAATCGACATAAGGGCTTGAATATCAGTGACTAGCAAGTTTATATACTGCTTAATATCTACTCTAATTAATCACTTCTGGGAAAATAAGTTAACCAGGTTACATCTGGGGCATAGATTAAAATGTTACAGAGTCAAATTGCCTTCTGGTTGAATGTGGGCTACATGGTTTTCGCTTCCATGTGGGGAAAAGGCCTGTCTGGTTTGACTAAAAAAGTTCTCCTAAAAAACGAATTTTCCGTGGTGCTTGACTGAGAAGTTTTCTTGTCTTTTTAGTTAATTTCAATCAATCAAATGTAACGAAAATGTAAGTTTATTACCTTAAATTGATAATGGAGATAGACTGTAATATATATTATAACTGCATGATTTATTTATAAATAATTTAAAACTTTATAATGCAGTTAAAAAATTAAAGTTTATTGTTCTTTTACTTGTAGCACTGCATAAAAACATATATTATTCAGTTTTATTTAAAGAACACGTTTAGTAAATTATACTTTTTGCTTAGTATTTTTCCAAATATTTAAAATTGAAGAAAACGCTTTTTTATCAATAAGATTTATGCGCCCATAGAGTCTATAGAACACTAATAAAAAAACTGCTTTTCACGTGTATCAACATAACACAATTCGAACAACAACAAAGAAGATTCTTAAATGCCAAATGAAAATTTCATCATAGTATCTTTGAATTATATAACCGAACTATTGGCGGTAATTTTCAAAATCAGGTCACGTGTGCTAGGCTTTCTCAAAATTTCAGGTAATTCCAAGGCGTGAAACCCGATTGCTCCCTCTCTTGACATACTTCTTAGTTCTTCTGGGCATCCAGCAGTGGTGAGGCCCGATAAAGTATATTTCTTCTCAAGAATAATTTCAATTACTTTCATTTCAATTCAATATTTAATCTAACATTACAATCCTCATTTTATTACATTTTAAAATCAAAAGTTTTATATTAAATTGAAACTTATTGTCCTGCAAATTTTGAAATAAATTCTAAATGTAAACATGATGAAAAAATTAGGAAGTAAGAGAGTTGTTTAAGTTTCTACATCTAAAAAATTCCGTTTTAAATCAAGGTTAAAAGTGCCGGCACCCTGAGTGCCGGTACTTTTGACCGTATAGATTCCACTTTTACTAGAACTTGTTACGGAACATAATATTTGACAGGCTGTAATTTTTATAGTAATTATTACAATAAAATCACTGAATCACTCTAATTAAATAAATATTATTGTAAAAATTATGCTATAATATTTCACGGGGAAAATGGATTTAACAGATGATGAGCTCAAAGTGACAATATTTTATACCGTAATTTGATTCAGAATTTCTTACAGTATATTATTAAAAATTTCTTTTTTTTTATTTTTTTTTATTTGTGAATATTTAGTCATCTTATGAATAAATTATATTAAATTAGCTTACGTATATTGTATTATTTTCATTTAAAATTAAGCAATCTCCAAATTAACCCGTCGAAACTAAAAAAAAATAAACATTTATTTCCAGAAAAAGAATTTCTAATTAGTAAATGCAAAATAATTTAAGTTTATGTCACTCATTTAACATTTATTTTGCACATTTATTGAAGTTGATTGGGTTATAATGTTTTATATCTTTTTTTTAGAATAGTGGAGAAAATTAAAAATCGACATATACCAGCATTCCTAATCGGAATATATTAAACCTATACGATATTTTGAACTTATAATCTGACATTAATACAAAACAATAAATTGCCTACTGCAACCAAAAATTGATAATTTATATATTTTTATGCATTATTAATATATTATTAAAAATAATAATAGAATATATCCACACTGATTATCTAGCGGTATTTAATTATATATCTGATATAAAAATATATATAAAATTTAACTGCAATGATAAATAAGATTATAAGATTACATGTTTTTAATAAAGTATACACTTACAACCTTATTTTATTCCAGATTTTTGTCTGGTATAATTTTTTAATTATATAATATTTAACGTGCTTTTAATGTTTCCCTAGTCGAATTTCAGGAATTTCGTCAATATTTTGAATACGACAACTACAAGTCTATAATAAAAGAATTTTTATCAATTTTATATTCTAGGTTCTTTTGACTAAAGCAAAAGTTCATCTAGTGTTGTCATGTTTTTCATAGGTAGTGCCTAAAGTACTTCACTGACCATCCACACTTTAAATAAATAATAAATAGATAAATAAATAAATAAATCCCTTTTTCTTATCAACAAATAACCAACAAAAGTACTCATTTATTTTATTTTATGACTGGCGTTGAAGAGCTGACTCATTTTTGGATTTATAATTATCAAAGTTTACCTCCGTGAACTTGAACCCAACTCCAAGTTCAAGAATTGGGACTAACTAGCCTTCACGGAGGACTTAATGATGAAAGTACCCTGCATTGCGTTACATTAAGAAGAAAAACACGTAAGCCTCCAACGGTTATCACATCGGCAACAGGAATCACTTAGAATATTTTGAGTCAAGACTGCAAGTATAAGTATTTTGAGTCAAGAAAGTATAAGTATTTGTATCGATCAACAGTAGCTGGATTTCAAAAGTTAATCACTCAGACAAATATCACCCAAAGAAAACACTTTCGTTCTCTTCCTTTTTGGAAAGTTCAATTTTTTAAACGAAAAAGGATACTTGCTACCTAATTCTAGTTTTCAGCTTTTACAAGCTTATAAGCTGTACAAATTTTAGAGCATTTACAAGCTTTACAAGTTTAAGAACTTTTATAAGCTTTACAAGCCAGCCCATAGAAAATACACTTTATAGATGCGGTTGATTTTCATTCAATTGACTTCATGATTGTATTATTTTTCCGAAGGAAGGCAGAATATCTTTATATAAGAATCTTTATATAAGGTAAGTCAGGATGTCAGGATAAAATTAATATATGGGGAATATGCGCACGCCTCCACCACACCACCGTGTTCTACATATATATATATACACTGGTTATCATAAATTAAGGAAAATTCACAAAAATCGCGATAACTCAAGAAATTACACATGGAATTTTATGAAACTTACCCACAATATACAACACATAGTAAGGTATTAAACAACATAAAAAGAAATTATCAGACATTAATAGTAGTATAGAAATTAGCACATGTATAAAATAAACANACCAGACATTTCATACATATATGGAAAAAATTCAATGAGTACGAGAAATGGACTGATAAGCTGTCTGTGATATTCAAAGGCCCAGGATGGTCACCGGGTAAACCATGGGTCGGAAACATTGAAGACATTCCTCACGTAAGTTTTTAACTGCATAGTTTTATTATTCTTATAAATAAAGTTCAAAAATTTAATTTCATATTTAAGGGCAGAGTATGTCAGTAGTTTACGAAAATTGCGAGAACACCAAACAGAGAAATAAATTTATAATATGTTTGCGTTATTGATAAAAACCTATAAGGCTGCTACTTAAAAAATCATTTTAATGATTTTTATATTCTCCCTATTTTATCTGCAAACTTTAAGACGATTATAGTTAGTCCACAACGGTGCGTTGAGGATTAAAATGCAAAAGTTGAAATTATTTAATAAACAGAGAGTAATTGATAGAAAGTTAAAAAAAAAAAAAAGAAAGAAAGAAAGAAACATAGTCTGCAATCAGCATGCTCCAATGACGCAGTCCAAGTTTATAACAATTCAAACTTACAAAAATCTGCTTATTGGATTTTTCCTTGCAGATTTAAGTTAGACCATTACGTCATACAGTTGCCAGGCCTTTATTTTGAAGTGAAACATTTTATATGTAATTTTGGGAGGTTTTGCTGCACGAAAGTGACATTTGTTTGCATTCGGCTGATCGTTGTCTATGGATAGCAGTCTTTTTATTTTTGTTTCTTTGAACTAAAAAATAATTATTCCATGCCACGCATTTTTCTTGAATTTATAGTTCATTTCGAAACGTTAACGCTTTTGTTGATTAAAGTAATGCTTAGAAACCAATTTAATAGTTTGAAAATATGCTTGCATTTTCTCGTTGCTTGAGAAAAAAATGTCTGCTACATAAATTCTTCATTCGGCTGAATGTATAGATTCTTGCAGAAACTGTATAAACTTGAGATTGTAGTGGATTGCAAAAAAAAATATGCAGGGAATTCTATGAAAAAAAATTAACATTTGGTAATTATCTTGAGAATTATTAAATATTAAACTTGGATGGGGGAATACCATGCTTGGTCGTTCTGTAGCCCGCTGAATTGCAACTGCTGAAATGCAACTGCAAGTTAAAATTTGACATGCTGAAAGAGTCATTTAATTGGTGAACTTATTTGTTATAACGCTAATTTTGTCTCGAAATTCCCAATTGTTCGAAAGTTTAAGTGCTTTTTCGTTAGTTTTTCTCGTTTTCAAAAAAAAATATTGTTTCTATATTCTTGTAGAATCTATTCTTGTAGAAGTATTCTATATTCTTGTCTATATCGTTCGAGATTTTTTTTTATTCCTTTTTTTTATTATTATTACATGCTCGAATGGAAGTCAATCAAAAGTAGCATAAGAAAGAGAGAAATTGCATAGTGCTAGATATAAATCTTAACATACGTATTAAAATTTTTAAGAAAATAATGCTAATTAAGAACGATAAAAACCGTACTCTACTGAATTGTTATAAGTTTTGTCAACGAATGAAATTCGGATTTATTTATCCGTATTGAGTCACGCACTCTGTATTTTTAGTTTAACTTTTTTTTTCAAGTTTAAATTATTATTTTTTAAATCATTCGTTATGTTACAATTAGCATATGGGGCTGATGAGTGGAGTGCTGTTTTGGGTGTTAAAATTAACGTTACTCTTTATTTTGCTGAGCCAACGCACAAACGAAAATTGCACAAAGAGCTAAGTGGAATAAAAAAAAATTCATATTTGAAAATTAGTTCGAGAATTATTCAATTCTATGTATAAACATCGTAATTTATTCTGCAAATAATTTATTCTCTAACATCTATTCAATATTCATTATTCTCTCAGCCTTAAATTCTGTGTATAAATTATTATAAAGACCAACTTCTCGGATTTTGTTTCTCGTGCGATTTGATATCATTCATATCATATTAGAGATACATGTGAATGTAATATTTCTGAGAAAAAGTTAATTGATTGAAAATAATTTTGTTGTTTCACTATCGAACGTTGTTGTATTTTGTTGTTTCACTAAATAATGTTCCAAATAGCATTTCTAAAAAGATTATAATAATATTTTTCATTATTTTTACAGCCTGCGCCTCATTTCGACAAGTATGATCCCCAAATGCCGTTGTTGTATAAATTATACACAATGCTCCACTTCGTATTCATCCTCACAACCTACATGATGATGGCTCTCAATATGTCGGTAAGACAGCTTTTCAAAGATTACAGGGTGTTCCGTAATGACCACTCTTATTACATATTTTTAAAATCCTATTATCAAAAATGAAATCAATAAAAAATGCACAGTGGGGTCACGAACTAATATTTAAGTGATGAAGTAAATTGTACGAATCCCTATTGAGAAGAGTAGTTATAAAGTCTCAAAATCCCTGTTTAATTGCTGAAGGAAACATTAAAGAGATTTTAGGCAATTCTTAGAAACACCAAATTACATTAAGCAAATCAAACTCTACATCAGGATAATTCCCCCCCCTTCTTCTTCCTCACTAATGATTCGACAAATTGAGGTAAGGTTACTGTATCTTCCCCACTTAAATACTGACTTGCGACCCTATTTCAGATTACTTTATTTCTGATAAGGATGTTAGAAATACAATATTTTAAGGGCGATGATTACGAAGCACCTTCTCTGTGTTTCTTAAAAAAATAATAATTAATATAATAATATAAAGGTATTTATAAATAATCTCTACATAATCACTATTTATAATTATATACTATCTAATTTTATATTTATAATTTTACACGTTTTGNATATATATATATATATATACTTTGAAAATTAAAGAACAATCTTAATAGTGTATGTAGAATTTATGCTATCATTACACAAGTCATAACTCATTAAAAACATATGTGTTTATGAATTTAACAATCATATCAAATTAGCTCTATTTAACAATTGTCCAAACATATTTCAGATAATATCGAAAGTGGCAATAAGTGCAATAGCAACCTTCATATGTATTGGCTGCATTTCGTTAGGATTCATGCTTGATAACAGGTAATTATTTTAAAAATATCGCATCATTAAAGTTATCCGTTATCGTTTTATTAGAGTAACCTCTATTCACGCAAGCATAAAGTGAGATTGAAAAAGAAGAATTTTCATTTCCACTAATTCATTTATTTCTCTTACTTTTTAGCTTACTAAGTTAAAGATATAATGCAAGAAAAACAAATCAAATTTATATTCTATGGCTGTATGTTACTCTGGAATATTGTCCATACTTTACTCCCTTATAAAAATGCCGAAATTATAACAAATACTTAAGATCTAATAACTTTTCTTGACCAAAAATTAAATTTTACCTCTTAAAAAACTTGTCCTTTTCTTCTTTTGTTTCTTCCTACTGACAAAATATGTTTAATTTCGGCATTTTTTTATAACCGAAAGAAAGAAGGAAATTTCTAAATGTTTGAACTTTCCGCCTGCATTTAAAGAATTTCTTTTTTACTTAGAAGTACTTCAAGAAGAGTCTCTCCCAAACTGAGTTTATTTTTTTTACATTTAGGTTAGCTTGAAGTTAGAAATTAAAATGGAAGAACAGTTTTTGATTTCTCTTTAGTTTGGGAAATAGAATTATTTTTAAGTTTAAACGTTTACGTAGAATAGGCGATTGAAAAAATCAAAAAATTAGTTGCCAAACGAAAAATAAATATAATTATAGTAAAGTAATTTTCATAATGTTAAAAAAATATTCAACGTATAACGGGGAGTTTTTCATAAATTAGAATAGCAATTTGATTATTTATTACATTAAAAAGTATTAAAAGCACAGTTTTTTTTAAATCAAAATTTATATTTAAATAGAAAACTAAAAAACAATTGAAAAATTATCGCTTGAAATTATTGCTAAAAAAAATTTTTGTTCTATTTTATAATCTAAGCATTTCTTTTTTATTATTATTATTATTTTAATAAGTGCGCAAAAAAAACTTTTTTTCTTATTTAAAAAGAAAAGAGTTGCTTTATTACAATACTTTGTAATGAATTTTACGCTTGCTATGAATATGTCTATTATTCTCAATTTTAAATGTAATATTATGTTGTGCAAAATGTGGTAATTATATTTTAACATAAATTCTGAAGATATCAAAAAATGAATTCAATTAAAGCTACCTTTTTTCAGAATGATTGCTGAAAAATCAGATTTCACGTCATATTGAAATGAAAGTCGAAAGTTTATAATCAATCTATAACTTCCTAACTCCTTCAGAATCAATAAAACTTTTTTCACCAATTATTTTCTTTGCATTTCGCGCTTACTGTACCTTATTATAAGAACCCTCATGGTTACAAAAAAATATCATTTAAAAATCATCGTGAATTACAGAAGACCATTATTATTAATTTTAATTCCAAATATTAATCAAAATTACTAGAATGGAAGCTGTGATTAATGACCACATAATACTATGCTGCTATGAACTACTTAATAGATTTAAATTAAAAACATTCTTTACAATTGTAATATTCAATATTTCTCGTCTTAGAGTTAGAATTTCTTTTATTTTATTTTTTAGCCAATATGGACCACCACTTGAATTTGGGAGATGCATTCTTTATTTCTTGTTTGACAGAATAGTGTTCCCGGAAATCAAGAAATTCGGAATAGCTGTCATACTAGTAGTATACGCAAACAGAATATTCATGACAGCTTCTATCTCTNTTTTTTTTAAATCAAAATTTATATTTAAATAGAAAACTAAAAAACAATTGGAAAATTATCGTTTGAAATTGTTGCTAAAATTTTTCTTTGTTCTACTTCATAATCTAAGCATTTCTTTTTCATTATTATTATTATTTTAACAAGTGTGCGAAAAAAACTTTTTTTTTTATTTAAAAAGAACAGAATTGCTTTGTGACAATACTTTGTAATGAATTTTACAAATTTGGTAGATAATTTTATCATAATTTTTTCCGTCTAAGCAATCATCAGAAATCGCTTGCTATGAATATGTCTATTATTCTCAATTTTAAATATAATATTATGTTGCGCAAAATGTGGTAATTATTTTTTAACGTAAATTCTGTAGATGAATTCTGTAGATGTAGAATGAATTCAATTAAAGCTACCTTTTTCAAAATGATTGCTGAAAAATCAAATTTCACGTCATATTTCAATATGACGTGAAATTTGATGAAAGTCGAAAGTTTTAATCAATCTATAACTTTCTAACTCCTTCAGAATCAATAAAACTTTTTCCACCAATTTTTTTCTTTTCATTTCACGCTTACTGTACCTTATTATAAGAACCCTCAAAGTTATAAAAAAAATCATCGTAAATTACAGAAGACCATTATCATTAATTTTAATTCCAAATATTAATCAAAATTACTAGCATGGAAGTTGTGATTAATAACCGTATAATACTATGCTGCTATGAACTACTTAATAGATTTAAATTAAAAACATTCTATAAAAATGTAATATTCAATATTTCTCGTCTTAGAGTTAGAATTTTTTTTCTTTTATTTTTTAGCCAATATGGACCACCACTTGAATTTGGGAGATGCATTCTTTATTTCTTGTTTGACAGAATAGTGTTCCCGGAAATCAAGAAATTCGGAATAGCTGTCATACTAGTAGTATACGCAAACAGAATATTCATGACAGCTTCTATCTCTATGTGGATCAGTTTATATTTAGCTGAAAATTTGAGAAGAATCTACAAGGAAAAACAATTATGAAAACTGAACTGAAGCATTCAGCTTTATTTCTAAATGATAGTTGAAAGTTCTGAAAGACCAAAGTGGTACACAAATGCGTATGATATCTATAAATCATTAAAATAATGGTTGGAAACATACTTTTGTGCATAAAATATAAAATTCAATCGGCGACATGCGTTGTTTCAATTATAAAAATTTTAAATGACCAATTTAACCAAACATTTAAAATTATACAAAAGTTGGACTTTAAAATTTTCGCTGCATGTTAATTATAAAAATTAATTTTTATAATTTTAAATTCTGCTTATCTTTTTAAAATATAACTGTTCTCTATAACTAGCATTTAAATTTTAGGCGAAGGAAAATTATTTAATTTTTTAACACCTGAAAAGTTTCATAGAAGAATACAATCAATGATATTTTAATCAATTTTAGAACCTCGACCTTAGAAACATCAGGAATCTAATCACAAAAGACTTTTTTTTCAATGAAAACCATCTAGTTAATATGTTTGGAGAAATAAAGTATTGCTTTATACTTGCAACTTGGCTCTAGCTATGTTCTTAAACACAAAAATCTGAGTATTTTCAATAATTCACATAACATGTTCTTCTGCTAAAACTATTTAATTCTGATAAAATAACGAAACAAAAAGCAATGTAAGAAGAACGGATAAAAAATAGTTGGACGATCTGTTTCAGCTGTTTCGTAGCTATGTGCTTTCGTTGATACCATAAGTGCCAAAGCATTAATACTAAAAAAATGATTTTTTATGTAGCATTAAAGCAGCTATATGTTCCAACTATAGTTTATTTGTGCTTTATACTTCGCTTTCTTTTTTTACACATTTCGTAATACAAAGAGTGAGGTAATTTTAAACTCTTCTTTTACGACAAAACCCTATCGTTTCAGGTAGTTAAATTTATTCTTTTAATTTTTTATTTCCTCTACTCTTTCAAAATATCGAGTATAAATAAACGTATTGTATAAATCTATATTGGCTAAAGACTTTATTTTATAAATTTACTCATTTTATTTTAATTGATGGCAATAAGTCTTTTGTGGTTAAAAATTAAAAAAGTCTTCAATTTTAATTAAAGTAAAATAGCTAAGTTTCTTACGCAATAAAACATGTTTTTCAACCATTCTTATGAAATGCATATATTACCTCTAAATCTCGAAAACAGTTCATTTTACCAATCTGATCTGCAGATTAGCTAGGATGATCCATCAAAGATCGGAGTCAAGAACTTTCCACTATTTACCTAAGTATTATATTGACTTGATTTTTTAGATTGCTGAAAACGACAGTAATGTAATAATATTTTAAACCCTTTGATCCTTTGTATTATAATCTTTAAAAATATTCATAATTTAATCTATCAACTAGTGTTGATTGTTTGATTGGTGTAATTCTACTTTTTATATTACTAAAAACAAATAAATAACTTTATGTTCATAAATGCACAGAGAAATGTTGCTGTTGTCCTAGCAAAGATCTTATTTAAACTTTAATGAGTGCCTGGAAGGTAATGGGTAGATTACCTTGATAATTTAAGAAATGAAAAAGAATTTTTGCACTTTAACGGATCATCCTAGTTAATCTGCACACAAAATAGATAACCTGAGGAATAACTGATTTTTGCTCGTTAAGCACGACATATAAGCGAATAATTTATTTTCCTACTATCTTACAAATTCGGTTCTGGTGACTATCTTTATATCAATGAATACCTATTTGAGGATAGACAGTAAAATAAACTGATGACTGTAACCTCAATCATCAAAAACTATCGATATCGTCTGGTTTATTTGGTTAGATCTTGTTCTTCACTACAGTATATGCAAGGTGTTCCGGTGTAAGTTTTTAGAATCATTATCAAAATGTATATTTTACTGCTAAAGACCGAAAACCTTTAATGCACTCATGAATTAGCTAATCAGCAATTTAACTAGTTATTAATTAAAGTGGGGAATCAAGTGCTTTCCGCAATTTACCCAACCCAGGTAAGGCATGCTTTAACTGCCTCCGTATCGTTAAAGTTCAAAACTTTGTTTCCAGCCTCCCGTCAGCATATTTGTTGATTGTAGTGACTTGACTCATAACATACCAAAAAATAAATAATTGACATTATGTTAATTTCTTTAATTGCAATAATATTTTAAACCGTATGATTATTAGTATAATAGTTTTTAAAGTGATTGATGATTGATACTATCAATGTGTTGATTATCTTATTGCAGTAACTTGATTTTTTTTTAATGAAAAAAATTAATAAGTAACATTGTGTTAGTTTAAGTGTTCGGAAACGTTGCTGATGTTCCAGCAAAAATCTTATTTTATCTTTAACGAGTGCCTGGTAGAGAATGTGCAGCTAAGCTAAGTAGTTTGCAAATTACCTGCGGAATTTGAGTAATTAAACAATTTATTTAACTTTTGCATTATACTATATAACTATTATTAGTAGACTTATCTTTATTACTATTATTAATGTACTATTATAACTATTATATTTATAAATAACCCATTTAAGGGTGGGCTTTATAAAATCAATTTGAAGAAGGAAAAAAAAACAAGTATGCCAACAATAATGCGTTTTGTTAAGTACAAACTGAAAATTAATTTAGTAACTGTAACCTCAAACATTATTAAGGATCATCGGAGTTTCTTGTTCCTCGCTTGTATATCGCTCATTTGGTGAAACAATGACGTAACTGATAATTACTCTATTTAGGTTGATTTTACAGTTACGTCATTGTTTCACCAAATGAGCGATATGTAATAGTATATCGCTCATATACTATTATATGGTATATATCGCTCATTTGGTGCAACAATGACGTAACTGATAATTACTTTAGTTAGGTTGATTTTGCAGTTACGTCAATGTTTCATCAAATGAGTGAATGCAGGGTATTTCGCTGTAAATTTAAGAATCATCGTCAAAAATATATACACATTAATGAGCACAAATTAATATTTTATCAAGGATAAAACAAAAACGCTACGAATCACTATTGAAAAAGGCTGGACTGAAATATCAGACCGATTGAGGGAGAGAGCAGTGAGAAGTTAAAAAACAATTGTTTACACCTTCAAGTTTCGTCAAATCATACTGATTTTAATGTTTTCAATCATGTTTTCTTATTCATTAGACAGCAGGCTTCGATTGCGTTTTTATTTTTTCTTAGCTCAAATATAAATTTAAAATCCCCTAATATCTATGCTTTTATAATTTCTTTTTTGACAAGGATTCTAAAAAATCTATTAAAGATAGTCATTGCTGAACACTCTGTATTTCACACTAATGAAATATCAGTAGACCCACCATGTTCGCATTTTCAGGGCTGGTTTTATATACCTCGACCTTATAGCAACTACATCATCATCATTGGCGCGACAGCCCAGATGAGCCCTGGTCTTCTCGAGTTTCCTCTTCCTTCCAGCAATGGTTGTCCAATTTTTACAGTCTATATACTATTTCACGTCATTAAATAGTTTCATAGTAGACTTACTGATGATTTCTATTTTGTTTTAAAAAGTTAAACCTCTCTACATAATCATTGTGATCCTATTAAAGCATTTATCAAAGAAAAATTATGTTTAATCATACTTACATATTTAATTATATATTTTTTTGTGCACATATCAACATGTTTTCTGTGAAAAATGTTTTTGAATAGGAAAGTTTAACAATGAAACACAATTATTGTATGAAAGAATTTTTGTATATATGAAATTTTCATAAATAAAAGTGTCATGTTTATCAAAAATGAAACGCAATTCTTCTCTTTAAGTCTTATCTTTATTGTGTTTTTGAAGTAATGTTATGACTGATTTTAAGAAAAAATTTCATTATTATAATATAAGAACTAAATTTTTATTAATTGCTCTAAGTTAAATTTTTATTTTGAATGATGGGTTAGCTGTTAAATTTCTTTTTAATGAATATATCAAAATTCTTTTAGGAGCAAAGCTTATTAAATGATTATTAATAAATTGTTTTATTGTTGAAAAAATTTTCTATTAAGTTCCTCAATATAATTTCAATCTTTTGAATTTACATATATTTAAAGATATCTACTTTTTCATAATAGAATAATGCTCACAACTTAACTTGATTTTTTTTTATTATTTATTATCCAGTTTGTTTTGACAAATAAACAAAATGGAAGAATTTAATAAGATTCCTTAAATATACCACAGTATAAGGATGAAATTGAAAGACGATAAAATTAATCACAAGAATGGAATTATTTATTTATAAAATGGTTAAAGTATAAATATCGTCCCTATTGTTCAATTCATAATCAAAATTTATTTAAAAGGCTTTTCAACTCAGACATATTAGCAGACAGCTTCTAGGTCGCCAATGGCAACCGATTTAAAAGCTTCGTTGCGTCCCACTCGCTATGCGTTGTCTAGGTAACGGAATAAGAAAGGTTGGACTAGAATCATATGTGCCGATTTCTCCGAATCAGCTGGAGATGATTGCGTAACGGCTTCATTAACAAATATGTCGTATTGAAGTTAGTAGGCCACTTAGTAATAGCTTTGTTTTAATATGTCAAAACAAAGTAGGACGTACTTGATGGAATGGCGAGATTATGAAGTTAATTTAACTCGCATAGGCATTAATTACCAAGCAGATATTCCTCAAATAAATCCCCCAGCGGCACTACATTCTGATTATGAAAATGGTGATCAGCTGCTTTGGAATCCCGCAATCTTACCATGTGGGAAAGTAAAAAACTATTTAAATACTGCCAAATCCTTATTTTACAACGAGCATGGCGAGGAAAATGTTTTGCTCGTTCTGCATCAGAGTAACTACGATATCGACAAAGCTTTGGAATGTTTCTTGAGACCACGTGGTTTAGAAGTTCAAAACGGCAAGTGGTCAGAAAAGGAATGCCGCAATTTCGAAGAAGGATTAAGGAAACATGGAAAAAATTTCAGAGCTATTCAGAAGATGGTGCTGACCAGAACAATTGAAGACATCGTGGGTTTTTATTACCTCTGGAAGAAAACTGTGAGATACGATGTATTCATGCAAGACTTATTTACCAATAAACGCCACATCAAGAAAAAATTTCAGAAGAAGTATAATCATGTGACCGAATTCGGCGATATTTTAACTACACGTGAGCAGTTGGCTCTTAGCAAAAAGCATTCACAGAAAAAAACTAGGCGCCGGATTAAATGAAATTCCAAATACTTTGGATAAACGAAGAAAATTTTCTCTCTGATTATCATAAGAACAAATTACTCAAAATGTACAGAACGATGCAAAATAATTATTCTCCATGCCTTATGAATCTGAATATGTTACATGGTCAACTGAATATGGTTATGTTGGAATTCACAAAACTGGAACACATTGGTTGACAAAAAGTAATATATTTAGTCATCAATAATAATAATGTAATTTAGTGATCCTGGAATAATTAGTTACAAATATAAATTAGTCCAGCTACAAATTACCAGTCGCCAACGACCCGAATGTGATATCAGTTCACATTTCAAGTCGAATGTGTCAAATATGATTTTCAGAGGTACGCACTGTAAATAAATCTAAAAAACTTATCATTTTTTGTTTCTGATTTTGAAAGTTTATAGTGTGTAATTTAATATGTTAAAATTATTCTTTGAAATTTAATTTTTTAAGAGGAGATACTGCGAGTACAGATTTACCTGGCAACACAAACGGATTCTTAAAATTTCATCCTGAAAAGTGTATTTTTATTTTTCATCGAGATCTTGAAAACTATTCCTCCAAACACCATTTAATTTTAATTGGAATACAGATAATCGATTTCTCTACGAAGCAATACAGAGTAAGACGTTTTCTTACTTTTTTATATCTCTGTTTTCCAGGTTTTATGAAGCTTCAAAATTTTATTTTGCAAACAGGAAAAAATAAACTTTCAACGTGTATAAAAAATAAACATCCTTTAGTTTAGTTGTAGAAAATTTGATTATGTATAATCCCATAAAAAAACGTATAATGGAAATCCAATGAATAGTTTCTGGAGTCGATGTTGATGGAATGAAGTTGTAAGACAAGGTTTCCTAGGAAACGCAATCAAAATGTGAAGATTTTTAAATACTGCATTTCATACAATTCAGTGTTAGTCTCTAAACTCCCTCCAAACGCTCGCATTTTGGAAAATCATTTTAACACATTTACTTTAAGAAAAAATCAAAAACAAAAAAAAAATCACTTTTCTGAAAAGATTCAGGAAGTCTGACCCTCAGAGAAAATTACTATTTCTTTTTACGTTTGAAAGAATTATTGGTGTTGAAAATATAATTAACTCTGCAAATGTATTTATAAAGAAAAGAGAAATTTACAACGACAAATTATGAATTTGAGATTTTTTGAGATTTATTAAGTTTTATTAAGGGCGTAATTGTGCACTAACTGCCAGTATATAAAACCAAAATTTCAAGATAAAAATACAAAGGAAACAATGAAAGAAAAGAGGAAGAATATTTTTTAAAAGAGAATAAGAAAAAATATTAGGAAATAATAATTAAAATTTTAATTATTTTTTAAAACTTTTCTTATTCGCTTTTTAAAAAAAAATTTCCTCTTTTCTTTCCTTGTTTTCTTTGCATATATAGATTGAAGAAAAAAATAATACTTTGAAATCAGTCCAATGGGATAATAAAAAGAACCTCAAGATCAATTAATTCTATTACAAATTACATTTCCCAAGAGCAAAACTATATTAAAAATATAAATAATGATAAAAGTTAGTTGTTCAAGATTGTTAGTTGTTTAATATGTAATAGTTAAGGCTGCTTTTATTGATAATTTAGAGGAATACTCTGGATTCATATTTTCAACAACAACAAAAAAAAATACTTTGAAGTTACCTTTTAAATTTTACACAATTTCTGTAGAATAATAAATTGTCATACATCATATCTTAATCATGACTTATGTTATGAAAACAATTATTCAAAACTGAACATTTGAATTTGGTTGGCTAACTTCTACAACTTCAAAGAAAAAATATTGATTTTCTTCGCTTAAAACTATTTCTAACCAAAAATAATTTCCTTTATTGAGAAGGTAATAAGTAAAATCAATTTCAGTCAATGGTTTGAAAAATATGCACTAAATAAATATTTGCACCAAAATTTGCAAAACCATTATACACAAACCAAATATTTTTATTGCAATGCATTGAATACTCATTTTTCAAGGTGTACTTTCTTAGTCTTATAAGTTCGTTGAAAGCCAAAATCCTCTTTCAAAAGTGTTTTGCACAGAGAAAGCTGGCAAGTTAATTTTTTTGGCCTTCAATTTTTTTACTTTAGTAAAAAAATTGAACACCAGGTTGGAACCCTATGAACTTCTCCATTTTGTGTTTAAAACCTTATGGATTTAGAATTACACAAGAATTTGCAATAAATCTTATGAGTTTTAACAACCCATAAAGGTTTGTGCTAAGCCTCAAAAGTTAATAAATCTTACGAAGTTAAAAAATCTCACAAGTTAAAAGTTAATAAATCTCAAAAGTTAATAAATCTTAAGTCTTGTAGAAGGTAGTTGCTACTATAATCAAGTGAGTTGTAGCCAATGACAGAAAAAATTGTGACACGTTTGCCACCCTGTATCATTGTCAAAGGTAACTCTTATGAAAACTTGTTAATATGTTACAGTAACAGTAATAAAGTGTTTAGTCGGTAGTTCGGTTGTGATATTTTAATAAGCATAAAATTTATAGTGTATATGACAGGATCCAGGATATTTTTCATCACCATGTCATTTTCTTACGGAAAACAATCTATATATTAATTAAAACAGGTAAAAACAGTCTAAAATAATTATTTAGTACCTTAGTTTATACAAAAATAGTCTTATACCAAAAAGGAAAATATTTTTTACAAAAATTAGAAGCTCAACTTAATTCAATCTGACACAAACATTCTTTTTTATAAAAATAAAAAAAAATACTTTTCACTCAAGTTATTTTTAACTTAAAAGGATTAAATGATTAAAAAATGATGCTATAATTAAAAAATAAAATACAAAAATCCATAAATGTATAACAATAAAGCCAAAAATCCATACATTTCCCTTCAAAAACGTTTATTAATCTTAAAAAAATTAATTAATATTCAAAGATATGTGTTTTTCTTTCAATTGCATACAACAATAAAACAAACAATTAGATAAAATAACAGAAATGTGTTTATCAATGTTTATCTTAGTCTAAATTTCTATCCAAAACACAGGTGCAAGAATAAGAAAAAATTAAAACCTACATTTGGTAGTGGTGTAATTCCAATGCAGGTTCAACAATGGATATTTTTCCTAAATAAATTTTAAGCATAAGGTTCAAAAGGTATAAGTAAAATTTTCAAAACTAAACTATTTTGTCACAAAAAGCCTAACTGAGACTTGCCATTAAAAACAAAATCAGTAAATCACCTATTTTCTCCTTGTGTTATTTGAGTAAATTTGAGTGTTCTATGACACTTGCTATTTATTGTGCGTTATTTATTAACTAGGTGATAATTTGCGCACATTTTATGTAACCTTTTTTATTGCAATAACCATTAGTAAGAGCTAAAAAAAATAAAGGTGGAAAGGTAAGGAATACACACAAAGTATATTTTTAGAGAATTACAAAATTTATTAACAGATTTTATTTGTATATTAACTAATTTTAAAATAAATACTCATTGCATATATGAAACTTTCTTAAATAACTCAAAACGAAGAACAAAAATATTAGGAGAATATATACTATTACAAAAACAAAATGTTTTGATTTTATGAGTTCAATCATTCTTAAAGCTTGAACCATTTCGTAAAAACAAAATGGTTATCAAATTTCACTATCTCAATTCAATTCTATCAATATTTAAAAATAAATTAAATTGACAGTAAAATTGTAAATTAAAGTGGAATAAAATAGATTTTTATATTTTTACATATGACAGTAAAATCTTAAAAATAACCACTAAAAAAATTAATGGTACTTTGCATTTCTACACCTAAAATGTATAACCAATGATAAAAATTAAGTTATTTATCTATTTTAAAAAACAACTGACTCAAAAATGAAATTAAATGTGACAAGCATTTGAATAAACAGCATAGGCAAAGTTTAGATTAAAAAATTTTTATCTATGCCTTGTATTATCTTCGAAATAGATGATACAAGATATATATAGATGCACTAATGAATAACTTAATTTACAACAACCAGCACACATTTTATAACAGATAAAAAACAATTGAAATATGTACTCTCTCTTTAAAAATAAAAATAAAATATTTCTTTATTTTTAAAAATATGAAACAAAACATTTTGTTGAAGGAAGAATACATTGATCAGATAATTAAAATCCATTAAATTTGATTTAAACTAATTATATTTAAAATGATGAGTATAAAACTCTGTTATCAAATAGCTTTTATGAAGTTAACCAAATTTTAAGTTTAGCCCAGGATCTAATATCCTTTGATGCAAGATTATCACAACAATTATTAGAAAAGTATATGCAAAGTATGAAATTAAAAATAAAGGAAATTAGTAATCCAATTATTTAGGGTACAAATATGCAAAATTAATGGAAATTGGTCTACATTTTAAGATATACAAATTACTGTGCTAACATCTGCAATAAAAAATGTGTAACTATGCAATAAATCTAAACTAACTCCATTTCAATACAAATGTTTATCATTTCATAACAATATAAATCATTTCATATCAAATAGGAAATAAAACACATTGGGCATATACTGCAGAGCTAAAACCTACATATTTTTCTTTCTTCTATTTAAGTGGTAAATAGGTTTTTAATTCTTTATTCTAATTTTCTATTCTTATTATTTTCAAAAACATTTAAAGTACACCTAATTATCTGTTATATACTTTACCAACCATTATTATGATGTTTCTTGTTTATATTGTTCTTCATATTTATAAACATGATTTGTAGGGAGAGAATGAGCCTCTTCAATTTTTATAGAAGTATCAAATTATAAAATACAATTAAAATAGTTAACTTCAATCATGACAAAATAAATTTAAAATCTTTTTTTTTCTTAATGTTCTTTACTTATAAAGTGACATGATTTTAACAGATTTTTATTTATTTTTTCAATAAACAGTATAGAAGAACATTTTTAAATTCTAATTTCCTGGAAAGCAAAATACTAATCTTAACTTATTAGAATGCTATACTGGAGAAGAAATCTTAGATGGCAACTTTTCTTTAACCTATGCAAGAAATTTAATCTTTAAACAACAGAAAAGTTGAGTTCATGTATATGTAAAGTAAACTATGAAGCTTCAAATGCAGAAAAAAAATTTCAAAATCTGGAAATGTAAACAAATTAAGCCTTACTTAGGATTATGCATTGGGAAAATTATCCTGCAATCATTTGTTTGGATTTTGATAGTAAGAAAACATTTTTAGAGCATTTGAAAATTCATGGTTTACTCCAGATTTGCATTAACACTTTTTTTTTCTTCTAAACCTTAAATTTTAAAATAATAATGGAGGTGAAACAGAATTTGCCAAGAAAAGTTTCTCCCACAGTACAAATAACAAAATTAATCATAATAACAGTTTTAACTTAATGATTAATCATAATACAAAGGTAATGTTGTATCGATTTCATTATGCCAAGCAATTAAGCCACCTTTGATATCTTTCCATTCATAATCACTCATTACCTTCTTTAAATTAACAACAGCTGTTTGAGAATCATTTCCTCTTCTACATATTATAAAAACAGACTGACAGTTTTTTTCTTGAATCAATTCTTGAAGCTTCTGAACAGAAGCCTCCAGTGTAATTTCATTTATCGGAATATTAAGTGAATTAGGTAAGCAGCAAATTTCTATTTCGTGACTAGGTCGAACATCTAATAGTATATGCGGCAAACCATTATCCATAATCTTCTTATATTCATTACAAGATATTCTTTCTGAATCAGGTAGTAACTCTAAATCATCTATTTTATCTGAAGCAGATTGTTGACAAAATAACTCATAATCAATTAATTGCTTGATCGATGGATTATTTCCGCATATATCACAATCTAATTTTCGACTTCTTAATGTTATAGTCCTCATATCACCGTTGAGTCCGTCGAACAAGAGCATTTTTTTATGGTAAGTGGGGTGTATACCAACCGCTATTTTGATTACTTCTAACGATTGAAGACAACCAATTACCCCAGTAACAGCACCAAGTACACCATTTTCTGAACAGTTTCCAACATTACTAGATGAAGGGGGTTTAGGGAACAAACACCTGTAGCAGGGTCCATCTAAATAATTATACACAGTTAGTTGACCTTCAAATCTCAATGCAGAGCCAGACACTAAATGCTTGTTGAACAGCACCGCAGCATCATTTAAAAGATATCTGGTTGGTACATTATCAGATGCATCAACTATTATGTTATAAGAGTCAATAATTTCAGTAATATTTGTGGAATTAAGAAGAATAGGATATACATTGCATTTTACTAAAGGGTTAATTTCTTTGATAGCTTGTTGAAGTGAATCACATTTCTTCTGACCCACTAATTCAATTTTATGAGCGATTTGACGATGCAAATTGGTTACATCCACTCTGTCATAATCAACAATACCAATGCAACCTACACCTGCTGCGGCTAGGTATAATCCAACAGGACAACCAAGACCACCAGCTCCGACAATCAGCACAGAAGTTTTTTTCAGTGAAATTTGTCCGGAAACTCCGATTTCTGGAAGTATGAGTTGGCGACTATATCTCTTAATTTCTTTATGAGAAAGTGGAATTTTTTCGTCTATGTGCAGGTCTTTTCTGCTATGATTTTTCTCATTTTCTTCCTTTAATAACGCTTTCAACTTATTAATTTCAGCTTCTTTTTCTTGTATCAAAGATTTTAATTTCTTCACCTTTTCCAGGTCTGACATAATTTTTTAATTAAATAGTGCGGCTATACTTAATTTTGGGGTAAAAATAATTAAATAGTTAAATAAATATATATATATTTATTTTAAAAATTGAGCAATCTATGCATACATAAACTCATTTAAACTGAAAATATCATCAGAATTTTATATATGTAAACAGAAGATGAGTTCCTGAAATGTGAAATGTTAGCGAATTCAGTTGCCAAAGTGCATTTTTTCAACTGAACCCATTTTAAATACTCAATCAGTTTTAAAAAGCCGGTTCCGACGATAAATTGTTTGACATTTTGATTTGCAACTGAAGTAACTGAATGATCGGATCAGAAATATCAAACGAGTTCATTTGAAGAAACAGAAAAACTGCTCCTTTAGAATTGAGCTTGCTTTAACACTAAAGCTTCTCCAGATGTAAATTTTTTAAGGTGAATTGAAATTTACATTTTATTTTGCATTTACTAAATGGCAGTCAAATTATAACTATGAATAGATAAGAAATTTAAAATAATATCTAAAATTTATAAATAATCAGATAAAATCTGTTAAATGCTGAGGTAGTTTTGTAAAGGCATCAATCTTATTGGCTTATTTTTAAGTAGTTGAGCAATATTGTCCAATGAAAATAAAGAGTAATCTTATTTTTAAAGATTCCGAAAAATAAACATAACTACAGTTAAAGTTAATAAAAAAGTAGTTTAAAATTGTTTGATTCATGAAATTTCTTTTCGTGCAAGTAACAGCTGTAAAGGCGTGTCCGTCTTCACAAAAATAAAAAAAAGTATTCCTTTAATATTCTCTTTCAGTTTTGCTTTTATAATTCTAAAATAAAATATCCATCCGGGTGATTTGTGGTGCATTAACTATTTCAATTAATGTAAATCTTACTCTCGTGAAGCTATGGTGTAAGGTATCTTTTTTAAAAAAAAAACTGGTAAGATATTTGTATTTGTAAGTAATGTTATAAATTTTAATTCAGTTTTTGTCTGAGAACTCTTATATTTCAAGAATTAATCAATATTTTTTGTACTGTTCTTCAGTTTCTTACAACAGTGAAATTGCCGGTATCCCGACCTCGGATATTATGCAATCACATTTTTTTATATTTTATTACTTAGACAAACTAAATGAAATAAAACTAACCAACTGTAACTTAATTTTTAATGCTGAAATGCAGCAATTAAGAATATTACTTTAATTCATTTTATTAGTGTTAATCATTCAAAATAGGAGTGGTACAATATTTCACCACTAGTTTAGTATAAATGAGCTTTGTATATTATTTAACTTGATTTGCTATGAATTAAAGATTTGTATTCAAAATCTTCGGATACATACTGTTTTTAAATAATTTACTTTCTATTTATCTGGTTTGTCCCTAATCTTAACAATTTCAATCAATTACTGTCTCTGAATGTTGTACTTATAACTGACCTACATAACATTTAAAACATAGATTAAAATGAAATTGATTTTTTATATTAAAAAGATTATTTTTAATAATTATCTTATTAGTAATTGTGGTTTTATACAAGCTCAACAAAATATTTATTATTCTTAAAAGAAAAAAAAATTATCAATAAGTATTTCATGTTTATCACATGCCCTTATGTTCATTGGAGATCGATTTTCTCCCATACTTTTTACCTGGGCTTTAAATTTTTAACTAACGAGTTGTAAATGACAATATTTAATAACTGTGTAGACTGCTACTGTTGAAGTTATATATGTGTTCAATCTGGTAGTAAGCTTTTATTCATTAAGGTGATAAAACTTAATTTATTCTTATATTAAGTCTAATTGTTTTATCTGGTTAGTGGCAAAAATATTTACATTCTCATTGTTTTACAGTTTTTTTTTTCTTTTCATTTAGTGGGCATTTCTTTGATTTTTTATTCTTGTATTAAGGCTCTGGTGTACTTGATTGTATATTCATAGTATTTTTAAATAATACATTATATGTAAAAAAAGTATATGTATGGAAAAATCTGCATTAGAAATCTAAAAAAATATGTATAAAAGATACCTAAGATCGGGCTTGTAAATGGTCATGTGTTCTCTAATCCTGTGAAATTACTAGATTTTTCTTTATTAAAAGATTATAAATTGCATAATAAATTACTTGTAAACTCCAATAGGTAAAGTTTTGTCCTACTTTTTAGAAAAATTATGATGTCTTCCCCTATAGCAGAATTTTTTTTAGCTATATGCGACTAATCTCTCTAGCACAAATATCTTTCTGCAAGATACTTTTATTTGAAACAAACATGTAAGTTACTAATTGAAAGTGACAAATATGCTGTGTTTACAAAAAAGACTATATAACTTTTTTTAAATTGAATAAGTAATTTTTTATTTTAATATTAAGGATGATATTCTCGCATTTTGTTGGGTGAAAAGCGCACAAATTATTTGTGCTCTTTTCCAAATTATTAAATTTTGTAAATAATCATCACAATGAGAAAAAATAATTAAAAATCATGAAATCCACATGATAACTGAAAAAAAAGATTGACGACGAAGTCAAGCGAATCGGACTCTTTAAGCGCATTTTTTGTTTCGAGGTTAGGTTGTTGTAACAAATAATATCGTATGAAAAAAATCGGATTTATAAACTATAGAGAAATCAATACAATAACAGTCAAAAATTAGATAGAATTATAGTACTCAAGTGCACGATTCGAATTTTCCATATTGTTTGAAATGTATCGGGATACTTGAAATCCGCGTGAAAATCGATATGAATGACTGCCGAAAATACAATAGAAAAATTACATCAATTTACGATACTATCGGCGTAAATTGAGCGTGTCAAAAAGTTATTATCTAAATGCATGATTCAAATATGTGTAAAATTTTGTTGTAAAGAAAAGAAATTTTTTTTACTTTTCCAAAGAAAAATTTTTCTGCAAGAACTCTGTAATATTCTGCGATAATGTCGCCGTGTCGCTGGTATTCTACCACGGGGATGTCTTCCCTGCTTTGTTTTCATGTCTAATGCATTTCTTAAAAATATGATTCTTGCATTTTTCTTTATATTTATTGATTATTTTCATTTTTGTTGCAGGCACACTGCAGTATAAGATTTTTATCAAAAACATCAGGGATGAATTCCTCAAACATAACCACCAGCAATTTGAAATTATGGCTTTCATGTGTTTAAATTGAATTCATTTCTACAAATCTCAGAGACCTTTTTATCCTTGTCCACCTTCATGTTTGATATGTATCATAGTTTATACCCAGCATCATGGTTCATCACCAACCAGTCCCAAAAGACACCACTCATTTTTGCATATGGAGATCTTCCCTTAATATCACTTGATCACGTAACAGCATTATTGCCTTCTTTCCACCAGCAGCCTATCTTTGCAACCTCTCAAATTGCTGTTGACATTCCCAACAACATGAAAAGGATTCCTGTTAATATGCTGATGCAGAGTATGGAATCTGTGAATAATAATTGCATGCCTTTTCTCAGGAGACGAAACTTAACCCAGCAGTCTTTACCTAGGCAAATTTCCCAGGACAGTTTGATGGAATCTGCTTGTGGTGACAGTGGCATGTCAAGTTCACGTTCATCGACTCCGTCATCTGTGGAAACTACTGGAAGTAGCGAAATAAAAAGACAGCCTGTGATTCACACGCCTAGTTCAACAAACATGTATCGTCCCCGGTAATCCATTCATGTGGTTTAAATAGTTCATGTCTTTTATTTACTGTGTAGCTATCATGAGAACTCCTCCATACTGAGAGTTCTAGAAAAGAGATTTCCACATCGCTACATCTTCGCATCAATTACAAGCCATGTGGCAAAATGATTTTTATGCTCGCGAGAAATTTTTAAAAAATGTGTAGAAAATTGTCCGGGGGTGACTAGGTGTCATACTGTTCAAGTTGTTCCCCTTTCAGAACTTGCCGATCATTTTAGCATCAGTACTAACACACAAATCTTTTTAAGTTTTTCTGCTATGAAAACAAATTTATAACCTTTTCAATTTTAAAAAAAAAAAAAAAAAAAAACACACACAGAAATTACATGATTTTCCAAATTTTAACCAATGTAAAACTGTTAATTCGCACATCTCTATTTAAAATGACTTATTTTCCTAATCACAGTCCATCACCACAATCCACTAGCAGAAGTTTCTTGAATAGAGTAAATTTCATAATAGCTGAACAGTAAAACTTTCAATTTTTTTATATCAAAAGCGGCGATAAGAATCCGAAGCCTTTCTTCGAAATGTTTAAAAGGAGCCTCCTCGCATTTACCCCCAAAAAAATGATACATAACATACCTGTTTATTTTGCTTTACTCATGTTTTCATTTTGTTGTATAATAAACATAGGTAAAGTAAATGATTATTATTTTGTATTATATGGTTATATATTTAACTATAAGTGTTAATCTACAAATTTACAGTTCGATGAATTCAGATAGAAAAATTTTTCCACAATATTGTGCTTAGTTCAATTAATGTAGTTCGCAAAAGTTTCATGTGGCCATAATGGACCTAATTACTTGCTTAATGATTGTATGTTTTCTGATAATCATTGCTGAAAACTGCATTAAAATAAGCTCAGAAACAGCTATTTTATTGTAATTGAATGATTTAGTTAATAACTTAGGTCAAATATCATTATTTGATTCTAAATTTATATACAGTCAGTATCGGTTATATGGTCAGCTCATGGGTCCAGAATATTATGACCATATAAGCGGTGTGACCATTTATGTGATAACCAAATATATAGTATAGTTAATATGGCGTGAATATATTCTGGAATCAGAATGTATTTTTTAAACAAATAATTCAACTTTCAAAAATGTTTAAAAATAATTTTTAAGGTGCATAATAAGAAAGAATGCAAAAAAAATTTTTATACTTTTAGAAAAATTTAATTCTTTACCTTAGCATATGTACATGTTCAAAAAAAATATTCCAATAAGCTTGTCTGTTTCTTCTTGGCTGTTAAACCAACTTTTTCTAAGTCTCTGATAGTTTTTAAATGTTCATCTGCTGCATCTGAATTTGCAAAAAAAAAACACCTTATGTCATCTATAGCCTTAAGAGCATCAGCTGTTGATGCAGACTTTTTATTGCATTCAGTATCATCCTCATTGTCACTTCCTTCAGCATTCAGATTTAAGACATTAGATACAATGCCTTCTACAGTTGCTTCACAATTAGTGAGGACATTGACGTCTATTTGGGAATACAAATTTACGTCCGGCATTGCATAGCCTCGGTTTCGAAGATTTTCTGCCAATTCAGCTAATGGAAGATCTTCCTCGGGGTCCTCTAATGACACCGAAGAGTCTGGAGAACTGTGGAACCCCGCGTGACAGAAACAATTTTCATTAGTTTTCGACGACACCATGTTCCAGCTTTGGTCAATATAGAACAGTGCGTTCAAAACTGAAACGTGAAATTCTTCTTTTCTATCTATGGCAGTGATCATATCCCGTAGAAGAAGCTTTCTATACATAGACTTGAAGTTTTGGATTATGCCTTGATCTAAAGGCTGCAACACACATGAGCTGTTTGGAGGCAAAAATACGAGCTCAATCGATTTCAAGCCCTCAACAGGACAGTGAGCAGTGCAGTTATCAGCAATCAATGCAACTTTTCTGTTTTTCTTTGAAAAATGTAGGTCCCACCTTCTGAGAGTTTTTTCCCTGGTCGTTTGGGTCGTCCATGCTTTGGAATTGGCATCGTAAATTTTCCAATCACCGAAGGAATCATTTTCTCCGAACCATCCATGTTAACAGTTAATAAAACTGTTAAAAGTTCCTTACTTTTCTTTCAGCCTATACATTTTTCTCCTTTGAAGCAAAGGGTTCAGTCGGGTAAGATCCTATAGAAAAGTCCACACTCATCGACGTTGAACACGTTAGCAGGTTCATATCTTTCAAGAATATCTCGCAACACTACGTCTTTCCATTCTTTTAAAGAACTGTTGTCAAAATCAGCAGCTTCTCCTCACAATTTCTTAAAGAATAGGTTATTTCTTGCATTGAATCGCTGTATCCAGCCATTGCTTGCAAGAAAATTTGATTCTCCAAGTTCTTTAGCTATTTCTAAAGCTTTTTCTTTTAGAATACTCCAGGATATAGGAGCATTTTGTGATCGTGCATATTTGATTCACGACAGAAGAGCCTTCTCCACATTCTCTAAAGGTGACACACACCGACGTTTTCTTTCTCGGTCGCTAATTGAAACATCTGGAGAGCTACGTTTGGGCTGCTAAAATGTTGTTTAAAGTTGTTCGTGGTATAGAATTTTCTTTGGCAAAAGTAGCTTTTGAAAGGTTAAACTTTTCAACCAATTAATTTTTTTACGATATTGTTAAATTCTTTCTTTTCGAAGCCATAATGAAAACATGGATACATTATTCATTCAGTAATCCAATAAAAATGTTCTTTTTTCTCAACTTCAACTCCTTTTCAAGCTCTGAGAGATAACTTCAAACAATCAAAAGACCTTCTGCCCTTGGGCGGGGAAAACAATACGAGTGGTCAAATGAGGAGAGGGTAAGATCATCAATGAATGCAAAAGAGGGTAAGGTGACGAAATAGAAGGGGAAATTCCAGTTTTCTCCGGGGGTCGAAGGAATGTGTTTACCTTCTGGTCATTTTTCTTGGCTTCCTGTCTAAAGAAATGTCTTAAAAAGTATCTTTTTTCAAAAGAAAATAAAAAGGAAACTGACCATATAACCGGTAACTCGAAAAATAGGATGACCATATAAACGGTGAACTTTAACATGTGCTTCCTATTAAGTTAGACAGGACTTTAAAAAATTGACCATATAAGCGAGGTGACCATATAGGCGGTACTGACTGTATTTTAAAATTCCTTTTTGTACATTCTTTCTGGTGTTTTATATCTGAAAGCTATTGAATAGCTAATATTTAATATCGGGTTGCTTAATTTATGTACCAAATCTTAATGCCTTGTGTAATTGGGTAAATTATACCCATAGCTAGAAATAGTTGAGAAAAAGTTATATTTTTATTTGGACCAATCAACTATTTATTTATTAGACAAAATGCCATTTTTGTTGAAACATTTACTATTTTTGCTGTATATTTTCTGTAGATTATAAATTTTCATTAAATATTGGTTTGAGGGAATACCAACTAATTGATACTGGTCATTTTATAATACATTGGCACTATAAATTTTTTTATAATATTTCTTTAATATCTCATACTATTATGGATTTCTCAGTGCTAAGTTAATTTAATGATAGGATAATTTTGTTAAAACTTTCTGTTCTAAACAAAGGAATTATAAAGCTAAAAATAGTTTATTTTATTATTCCTTTGTGATAAAATTTGACTTTATTGTACTTAAGTAGGGCAAAATATACTTCTTTTAGTTAGTCCTTTTTGAAAATTCTCGATTTTTTTTCTATTATCTATAAGGCTGGACAAAGACTAGCATGCATTTAATAATTGGTGGGCGCCATGGTGATATTGGGATGCATTCTGGAGGGCAGTTGTAGACATTGAATGATCTATGTGTGGTCTCCCACCTTCTAGCTAAAACTTTAATGTGAAAAACTATTTAACTTGAAACAAAAATCTTTGCAATTTTAAGGAAAATCAAAATTTATTTTTAAAAAATGATTCAATTAGTTATGAATGCAGTAAAAAAGATATTCCTGCAGAAAAAAGTTTTAAATGTGCAATAATTTTATTTTGTTAAAAAAAATATCTTTTTATGTAAAGTAAAAGGAATTAGGGGAGAGTGGCTCACCTTGGGACACAGTACACCTTGGGACATTTTTATTTTTGACCTTAAATTTTAAAATTTCTCTTAGTTCTTTTAGATTCAGATAGATGTCAGCATCATCTAACCTTGGAACAAATTTTGATTCTTTTGATTAAGCAGGTAANATAAGTAAAAAAAAATTTTAATTTTTTCTATGACAGATACGGAATTGAAACCTAGATAAAATTGTTTTCAAATGTTACAAGAATACCAGGTAAAAGTTTGACAATAATTGATCAAAGTAAAAAAATTAAAAAAAAAAGAAATTAAAAAAGTGTCCCAAGGTGAGCCACTCTCCCCTAATTCTAAACTCCTTTTTTTTTCTTCTTTTTTTTTCATTTTACAAATATTTACGTAGTAAATACATATAATTTTTTATCTCTTAATTTTTTAAGATAAATTGATATTGTTCTTATTATAAAGAACGATTAAGTTATTGTTAATTGGCAACCTTATAGTCAGCCATAAAAATATCTAGTTTTTGTTTTTATTTTGACAAAAAGTTAAAAATGTGCGTTGTTATATCTCAGATTGAATAGCGATTAAATTGTTAATCTTAAATGTGTTTTAGGAGAAAATTTGAGCATGGACATAATTCTCAGAGACAGAATATGCATCAAGGATATCAAAACAATCCAAAACCTTTTCCTTCCAATCAGAAAGTTTTTAATGCAGGATTACCTCAACGAAAAATTCCCCGTGATCTAAAAGATGAGTGGTTTGATGTAAGTCAGTTTTTTTTTTTTTAAAAAAAAACATGCTTTGCAATTTTTAAAATATTCAATGCATATAATTTTTTTTCGTATCTTCAATAATTAAAGGTGTCTCTTGAGATTTGGAACCATTATATAAAAACAAGGCAAAGAGAAGATATGTATGTAAAAAAAATGAATCTTCGGAATGCAATGCATCAGGTACTGAGCAGACTTTTTCCAAGTAAGTATTCTGCATTACTTATTGTATTTTTAAAATACATTTATTCAAAACAATATTTATATAAAATTATAGCCTCTTATTATGTATTGTTTAAAAATTGTTAAGATTATGAATCTTCTAAATTCCTTATTGAGTTGCAAGGGACCATCCATTCAGAAATTATGACCATTTTATGATTGCTTTACAAAATTCAAGCTCTAAAAAAAACTGCCTCCTCATAGAATTCTAATTTGTAAAAAAAGTCCCTTTTCAAATTCATAAAAACTATCCCTTCGTGAAGTTTTACGTTATAAAAAATTTTCATAAATTTTTCCACTGCAATTTCTCAGAGAATAGTATGGTTGTAAATTGAACAGGTCAGAACTCACGTTTGGCATTAGTATGTTGTAATAGCATACTAAAAATATCAAATTTTGAAAAATCTTTGGAAAAAGACTGGAAAAAAATGATAAATGACAGCCAAAAGAAATGCCATCCAATGGAATGAAGTTATGAAAAAATCGTCACAAATTTAGTGCATGAGAAGTGATTACATTAATACTAACGCCTGTAATAATATATTAAAAATATCAGAATTTGACAAAACATGTGAAAAGGTGCCGAGAAATGATAAATAACTGCTGAAAATATCGAGCAATGTAAAATTATGAATGGCATCTTAAAAGAATAACTCAAAATGAGAATTCACATTTATTAGCATCATATAAAAAATATTGAAATTTGAAAAACCCAGTATAAGGGCCCAAAAAATGATAAATAACTGCTGAAAAAACTATCGTCGTGAGTGAAAAACGTCAGAAAATGATACATCGAAATCTGAATTCAAACGTCATATTAAAAATTATTTGAAAAGAGCCGAAATAATGATAAATAACTGCTAAAAAATTATCAAATGGCATGGAATTATGATGGAATCGCCATGAGTCGAACAAAATCAAATTTAGCATGTTATAATAATGTATTAAACGTAATGGAATTAATTTTAAAAATCATAAGAAAGCAGTTGAAGAACTATCAGAAGACCACATGGATTTACTAAAAAATAGTGATGTTAAAACTGGATGTTTTTTATTACTTACAAAAAAAATGGACTCAAAAATAAAAACCTCAATCAAAATTTCTTACTTCGTCCATCTGAAAAAAGATTGCAATCTCTCTTACAAGAATTATATGATATTAGAACTTGAAAACAAAGTCATTCATAATAGTGAGAAACATTTGGATGTCTCGATTATAATAAATGCTAATTATTTCAATAAATGATACCTTTACAAATACTCATTTGCATAATATTAAATATGTTGAATTAATTATTTAGAAAGGTAAATTTCTGAAAACAATTACTACATAAAAAGCCATTTAAATTAATTTAAGAGAGCTCAATATTTTTAACAACAATATTTTTATTTGAAACTGACCTTCAGTATTTAAACATAAATACTAATTTTTTTATTTTTTTTTTCAAATGAACAGGAATAGTATTAGGGAAATAAACTAAAGGTGTTCCAAAATTTTTATTGTATTATTTAAAGATACATATCTGTTAGTTGGGTATCAGACCTAAGTTAGCGAAAAGTTTTGCAAAGCTTCGTCAGCACTGCTTCAGTCAGATATTTAGGTTATTTATTTGATAGTGGTAGACTTTTATTTTCATTGTGATAAACTCACAAAAAAGGTAGTAGTAGTAGTAGTTTATATTGTTTACATCGCACTAGAGCTACCCAATGGGATATTGGCAACAATCTGGAAAGCATCCTTGAAGATGATCTAAAGATATGGTATCGTAATTTTGATCCTCTGCAAACAGAATGCCCTCCCTCCACTTGGTAGAGCGGCTTAACGAGTGCAGTGAAACCTGCCAAGTTGGACACCTGCATAAGTTGACCTCAATTATCAAGAACGGAATTTTTCCTATATAATATAAAGAAGCAAAACCTTTGAAACTTGACCACCTGTCTATCTTGTATGTTGACCACTGAAATAAGTCAATTTTGTCTAGGAGTAATATGAAATTCTATTCTAAAGCCCTCATAAGTTGACCAGAAGAGAAAAATTCAGAAAATTTTCTGTCATTTTGCAATGTATGTAAAAATTTCACTTGTTAGGTGAAATAGAGTAAAAAGCTAATCTAAACTCTTTTGAGAGTTGACCATCTGGGAAAACTGTTGGGAGTCAGCTTTTGATCATTTCTTTCATTCATTCATTCATTGAAAAAAGGTGTGTTAGTTGAAAAGTTGCTCTTCCAGTTGCAATCCTGAGCATTTGAATAAATGAAATGAATGCTCTGAAACATGCTAATGAGAAGACACCTCTAACTTTTTCAGAAGCTTTAGACTGTGTTCAAAATATGTGTTATGCATATCATAAACAACCTGATAGTTCTGAAAAAATAATGGATCTATATGTTTGTATTGAAAAACATTGGCCACATGTAAAGTCTAAACAATAACGCCAAACAACAATGAGGGAATATTTTTGTAACATATAGATTTGTAAGTATAGTAATAACAGAATAAATTTTAAAGCGTTCTAATAATTTTGTTTTGTTAAAGTTTTCAAATTACATGTTTTTGTGTTTTGATATTTTAAGAAATTATCTTTATTAAACACTTCACATGCATAACTAACGAAAAAAAAAAAATTTAAAGTTAGTTAAATATTAGAATTATGTATATGTAACAAATTGAAGTTCATTCAGGTTTAAAAAAATTTCTTAAGAATTCATTTGGCTATTTGATAAAATTTTTAAGTCAAGTGAAAAAAAATTTTAAATATGACATGATATAGAAAACAAAAATGTGAACAATGGCCCACCCCCTCTATAAGTTGACCACTAAAACAATGCACCACAAGTGGTCAACTTACAAAAGTTTTACTGTACCAATACTTTAGTCCCTTCGCAGGCTGATCAAAGTTGTCACCGGTTTACTGACTACAGCCAGTGATCCTTAACTTCATTATCTACGGGGAAGATAGTTCTGTCTTACAATCACTCCACTGTGACCCTTAAAAGAAGAGAAAGTTAAAAATATTAAGTTAAACAAACTCACATAACTAACTTTAATTGTAACTATTCATCTCTTAATACTCTACAAACCATCTCCTTAATGTTTTAGTAACTATCCATGTTCTTAAACTTGAGGATCATTTTGGCTTAAAGATTTTTTACCTTGTTAACGGATAAGTGCCTATGAAACATAATAATGGTATTATTATAACATAACTAAATGATTAGTAATGAAAATTGATAGTGATAGTCTTCTCATGTGACTGCTGAATTTTTTAAAGAGAAATTTGATACATTGTGTGCTATTCTTATGTTTTAGATTGTGGGTTAAGGGTAGTTGGCTCATCTGTTAATGGTCTTGGTACAAATACCAGTGATGTTGACATGTGTTTAATACTTTCTACCACAGAGGTGAGAACTCAAAATATTTCATTATTGTTTAATTTAACATTTCTTATTCTAATTACTTGTTATTTTACTATCATTTTTTCAGGTCTAGTTCAACTGGTATTTGCATTGTAATATATTGTCTAATTCTTTTAAATTATATTTTTTAAGCTGCTTTTCACTAATATGTATGAAATTCTTGAGAGAATAAAAGGGATGGCATGTTATATAGAATTTTGATGGCATGTTATATAGAATTTTGATGGCATGTTGTATAGAATATAGATTAAATGAATTTTGAAATTTATGTATCCCATTTTGAAAATTATCTTTCCAAAAAGTTTTTATTTTTTTATCCCTGCACTTATTTCTAAATGTTTTTAAAATATTGAATCTAAATTATTATTTAAAGCATAAACTTAATACTTTTCTATAATTTCAATACCCACAAAAGATTATCTTTAATGGGCAATGTTTTAATCGTGGCTCAACCAAAATCTGACTTGCATCAAAAACTTGCCTACCCTTGTCTGGCACATTGTAAAATGGTGACTACATTTAGAGTTGCTGAATTTTCCAATTAGCCTTTGGCATATGAAATTTAAAAGTACTCAGGCACGCAAAATTATGAAATAGTTGGTCTGTATTCAGCCTTTTTATGTGCAATATTGCTGACATACCTATTAACCTTGTCTCAAACTGACAAAACCACTCAGCAAACAAGCTTGGCCGAAACATTTAGAGTAATACAATTTAATCTTTCAATTTGTTGAATAAGTTCTTTCCAACATTTCATATTATCATAAAGTTTCAATGAACCAAGTGTTACCTAATTTCAATATACCAAGCATTACCTAAATTCAATGATTCTTATTGAAAGTAACACAATGTTAAGTTTTGTATACTTTAAACTTTTAATTACATTAAATGCCATATTGTTAAATTGTCGACTAATATGTATGTGATGTATGATTGGTATTAAAGTATGAAAAAACTATTTTCTTTATTTTTCAAGATTGATCAACAAACGGAAGCCATGCATATTTTAAAATATGCTCAAAATGAGCTACTGGCATGCCGTAAGTATTATTTCGAATAAAAAATGAAATCTATTGTTTTTAATATTGCTTTTGAATATTTAATAGTATAAAAGTCATAATGCAAATAACACTAGTTTATTTTTAAAGTGCATTAGAACAGTTTGTATCAATGTTGTTATACCATTTAATAGTTTGTGCTTAATTTTAAATAGTGATTGAGTGATTTACTTTAGTTTTTAGAACATAATTAAAGTTAAAGAAAACTCCATTTTTTATTTACAAAAATTATTGGTGCACTTTGTTGTTAAAAGTGGCAATAAACTGGAGTAATAATGCTTAACAAGAATGATAATTTATTTATAACTTATTTATTGTATTCCATTTAAAAAATGGAGAAAAAAGCAGGGGGAAAAAATAAAAAATTATTTAAAAAATTATGCAGCTATTGAACAATCAATTAACTTGAAACCAAACAATCAATACCACTGCTTCTAATACTAAGGGGGAAGGAAACATCTTTAACAAATTTAAGACTTAAATATTATAAATTCTCATTCAATTTTATATCATAGTTAACTTAAATGATCAAACTTAACCGGAAAAAATACAAACAAGTAGGAAAATGAGATACAAAAATACATAGGAAATGAAATTGTTAATACTTTCTTTACCCCTGAGTACGAGTATCACTTAAAAGTTTCTATGGATAAGTTTGTATATACTAAAATACTTATTTCCACCAGCATAGCACCTTATTTTTCACTGTTTTAATTAATTTACTCTTGTAGTTCAGAGCATGTGACTTTTTTTCAATTTTGTATGTGTGAACATTATTTTTACGTTTAATATTAAAAAAAAAAAATTTCCACATAATTAGATCTTTATTTTTGTTCATTTAAGAATATTATTAAGGATAATTTATGTTTCAAAAACTATCTAGTGATACCCACTGATGAATGCTTAGCTGAATTCAATAAATACTTCATTTTGTAAATTTTGATATTTAAATATTGTTACAATTTTATGTTTCACTCTTTTTTCTTTTCTTTTTTTTTGTCTTTAAGTTTTCCAATTAGTTTCGTAAATCACCTGATTTCACTTATTTAGTTTATTCGTGCTTAGTTTTCAAATTAATTTTAAAGTTTCCCCCTGTTTCATAAGTACTATAATTTGTAGACATACTCTTATTTTTACATTTTCAAAAAATGAGTTTTTATGTAATTGTTGCTTGTTTTTGTAAAGTTTTGAAATATATTACTTAAGGAGTAACAGCTAATTAATTCATTTTGCATTTTTACTGCAACTAAAAATACCTCTATTGTTATGCAAAAAGTAGCACTGGTTGGAAGTCCCGATCAATTTAGTAATAAAATAAATTTCTATTTAATATTTTTTTTTAAAAACTGTTAGGTATTCAGTTTATTTGTTTCACAAACTTAAAATCTTTTTGGTTTTTACTCAAGATTTCATTTGCCAAATATTTTTAGCCTTTTAAAATGTATTCTATGATTTTTTTTTTTTAATAAAGGAATCTAGATATCTTATGTGCATCTTGAGAATCTTATGTGTATAAATTATTGCAAGAAGTTAATAGTTTTTATGATGTAACACCACTAATTTGGTACTTTTATTTCAGCCTTTGTAAAAAGTACTGATCTGATTACAGCTAAAGTTCCCATTCTGAAAGTTGTGGAAAAATATAAGTAAGTTACCTAGATATCAGTATATTAATTTTTTAATAGCTTAACAGTTGGATATAGTTTAATAGGCATGTTGTTATCTTACTTGCTCTGTATAATACTCTTGTCAGTTTGAAACAGTTGTGAAATGTGAGAACATGATCTATTAACTGATTTAGACTGCCAAATTCACACTGTTAATCACAGTCATTATTAACACTATCAAAGACAAACTAATAACCCTTTTTCTTATTAATTAACTCTGTTAAATTTTTTTAGCAATATTCAAGTGGATTTAAACATCAACAACACAGTGGGTATTGCTAACACACAACTTATTGGGGCATATAGTCAAAGTAAGTAGCTAAGTAATTCTCTTTAGTAACTAAGAAAACAAAATCTCACTCACTCAGTGGCAGTTTTTTTTGTAACAATATTTTTTTTAATTATAACTACTAAGAGTATAATTAGAATAAACAGTTTTCTTTGAATTAACTGATTTTTTACTTCGACTCTTTTCTAAAGAAACTTTAACCTAGTATTTCTCATCTGGCAAATCACTATTTTAGGTTTTCATACTAACTGCATTTAAGCCAGAAGTATAACTTATTACTCATTTAGTAAAAGAATAATAGATTTCGAAATAAACTAAGTTATTTTTTAATAATTGTTAAAACTTATGAACAATGCTATTTTGTAATACATAATTTATTCCCAACTTACTTTAATTAATGCATAATTTACCTTTGTTTAATTCGATGTTTGTGAGAGCAGACTGATTCACAATTTAAATAGGAATGTATAAATGTAGAATTTGAATAAATATTTCTAACCTGATTTTAAAATATTAATTTACAAACTATCCATGTTATTCAGATACACATTTATAGAGCTCAAATTATCTCAAAGCAGTATCAAAATTTATTAATTAGCTTTGAAATTGCATAATGAAATGTATGCGAAAAGAATACCACATTTTTCATTATTAATTATTCTCCCTTCAACCAGTCACAGTTTTGTTTTAGCTATATTTAATATTTTAAAAACTTTTGTAGGATCTGAAATTTTTTTTTTTAATTAACATTTTGTCTTATTCTATATAGTGGACTGGAGGATACCTCCATTAGTTCTTGTGATCAAGAAATGGGCTCAAGATTGTAAGATAAATAATGCCAAGGAAATGACTCTATCTAGTTACTCTCTAGTCCTAATGATTATTCATTACTTACAATGTAAGTATTTTCTAAATGCTGTTTTTTCTTGATTTCTCCTCAATACTAACATTTAACCTAGTTTCATGCAACTTTTTTAGGTGGCTGTGAACCTCCTGTACTTCCATGCTTACAGAAATTGAACTCGGTATGATACTAGTTGTACTTCTTATATTAGCTATATTGTTTAATATTTACTATGTTTCCTTATTTACCCACATTGTCTTTTTCAAATTTCATAATTGAATAATGCTTTGTTGGCTTATTTTTTATGATAATTTAACTGAAAAGTTTTGCATATATATTCAAAAACTAAAAAAAAAGACATTGGGGGATCAATGAAATTATTGTAACTTTTTATATCAAGATTTATATTCCAATGCAATATCAGTAATAGGATACCTCAGCTGCTGTGTGTGAAGCTCATTGTAAAAACAATTTAATTCAATGTTTTTAAAATCTGTGTTTTTACACTTGTTTTTTGTCACATTAAGTCTGTTATAATGGTGAAGTTACATCAATAATTCATTAAAATCCCTTTGAAGATAATGATTCACTGCTTGTATTGGTCCAATTAATGAATGACATTGGTGAGAGAACAAGGGTATATGCCACTTCAATAATTTATATCTCTGAAAATCTGCCCTCATGTTTCAGGCTAATAAATATAAAATGTTTTGAATCATCATTGTTATAAAGGTAGCTAAGTTGAAAACAAGTCGCAATGAAGTTTTCACAAATATTTTACTAATGAAATAAATATTTTTATTTTATTTTAATTCAAATTTAAAATTTTGAGAGCTTTTGAAACTATTCTTATTTTATCTAAATAATTAATGGGAATATACAGAATTCATTACTGTAAATATTCTTCAGTAATCAACAATATTAAAAATGCTTACTAGAATATATGGTATCATATCATATAATATATCTTTAAGATTGTAAATAGTTAAATGTTCTCTAAATCCAGTTCAATGTTATCTCTCTTACTCTTTTTTTTCTGTTAACAAAATATTTATAAAAAATATCTCATATTCACCTTTTTTTTTTTTAAGGGTTTTATTGTGAAATTAATTTTGTTTCATGCAAACATTTGTATTTATGTTAGAATTGTATTGGCTAATAACTTGATATCAAATCTAGATATGACTTATCAAAATATAATTTCTTTTATCAATATTTTTTAGCGGAGATTTGAAACTACTGATTATTGGCGACCAATTTCTTTCGGAGACTGTCTTAACTTTCAAACAAAGAACACACAGTCCCTTGGAAGTCTATTGTATGGTTTCTTCGATTACTACACTGAAAAATTTGAGTAAGTTCCTTTTGATTTATTTGATAAATATGCATGAATTAATGAATAAAAGAATTAACTTCTTATGTATGTATAATTTTTCTTTAGTTTTTCAAAAGATGTCATGTCTGTTCGCTTGGGATGCAAACTACCTAAAGCAGTTGCCATGAATTTTAGATCATTAAAAAATAAAAGAGGCCATTGGAAATTTATCTGTATTGAAGGTATTTTCATATTTTTGCATTATATGGATTTAAGTATGAAAGTTTTAATTTCAATTTGAGAATCTTACGTTTGTTGCTAACACTAAGCAATGTTAGTTATAATAAAATTTTGGGTTATTATTTAGTTAAAAATTAGGCTGGATAGCATTATTTTTAAACTGGATCTTTTTTTAAATTAAATAATTTTAAAGATTTATTAATATTTGGTATGTTTTGAAAATATTAGTATTTTTGATGTTATTTAATATTTTAAATTTTGAAACCCTGCAAATAGTGTGATGATTAATTTTTTTTGAATTTTACTTTTTAAGATTATTAATAACATAATTATATGTACAGTGCTCAAAATAGAAAATGGACCACCCAGAATGACTTGATCTAATGATGGTCTTCACGTTCGAGAACTCAAATCTTAAAGATTTAAGGGGGTGACCTCAAATATGCTAATTAATTAGGTCATACGATATTTTAAGTTACGAAATCAGACACTAAAATGTACTTGGTTCTTGTTGAATAAACATACCTTTTTCCAACGGATTCAAATTTCTAACTTCAAAAATATAAGGGGTATCCACAATCTGGGAAATATGGTCCCCATAGTTTGGTCAGGAGAGCGGTCCAAAGTTCGGACCCCGTTATGTCCATTTATTCGTATTTCGTGATGTATTATTGCGTATTTCGTCATGTCACGCAAACTTTTTGATGAATTTTAAAAAAATTTGCACACAACTAAAAAATTCGTTTATTCAAAGATAATGACATGTAAAATATAACTTTTAGTAAATATTTATTATTTTATTTAAAAATGATCGAAATAATTTTGAATTATATGGTATACAATTTTTTACATCATTGTAAAGAATGTAATTTTACATGGCAAAATATGAATAAAATCTACTGAAAAGTTCCTGAGAAACTATTTGATCAATTTCACTCAAAGTTAATATTTTGCCATTTAAAATTATGTAAAAAATTTTATACCTTTCAATTCAAAATTTTTCAACCATTATTAAATATAATAATAAAAGACAACCAATATTAAAATAGACTGAAAGTAATATTTTGCATGGAATTATCTTTGGGAAATTGAATTTTATTTTTGTGTGCAAACGTTTTTCAATTTGATTAAAAAGTTTTCGAAATATGGTAAAATATCCGAAAAATTAAATTAATGTTAAGGGGTCCAAACTTGGACCACTCACCTGACCAAATTATGGAGATCATAATTCCCAGATTGTGGCAATGTTTATTCAGAGAAAGTACACTTTTGTGTACTTTTTCTGAATACTTTTTATATCTTAGAATGTTGTCTGCACTAATTAATTAGCATATTTGGTGTCACCCTTTCGAACCATTAAGGTTGAGTCCTAGAACTTGAAAATCAGATCATGAGATCAAAAGTTATTCTGGATGGTCCGTTTTGTATTTTGTGCCCTGTACACACATTACATATATTTTTATGCAGTTTATCTACAAGAGAAAAAAAAATTTAATTTTCTGTTTTATTTTAGAAAATTTATTTATTTATAAGAAAATTAAGTAGTAAAATTAATATGTGGTTTAAATATAAAATGTAGCAGTTTAACTGTTTGAGATATTATTGAAGTAAAAGTTTTTATGAAAATTAAAACGTAATAACAGAAAATAAGACAAAAAATACTTAGAATTCTTGAATACTAGCTAAGACTATAAGATCTTTTAACTCGAAAAATCTAATAACATGTTAAAATTCATATGAATTTTGTTAGGATTTATTATATATTATATAGAAGTATTATATAGATATATTACGATATCTCTGTTAAGCAATTGTTCTATTAATTTATCACCAGTTGTCCACACAACTATTTATATTCAACTTTAAAATTATAAGTAAAGCAAAACAACATGATTAACGGTACTAAAGGGAACATACTATAGTTTCAGTTTTACAGATATTTCATTAGTATCTCCATGACCATATAGAGTATGTTCATTTCTATACCTTTATTTGTTCTTTATTCACTTTATTTTGATTTGTTCATAAACGCAATGCATACTTTTTCATTTGGCAGGTTTAAGTGTTTTGTAATATATTTTTTGTACTAGGGTAGAAATTGCGCCCGGTGGCTGAGCGGTAGCGCTTCGCGCTGTCGTGCCACAGGTCCCTGGTTGGATCCTAGAGCCGGGCAAGGTTGACTCAGCCTTTCATCCCTTCAGTGGGTCGATAAATGAGTACCAAGCATTTGAAGTTTGGTTATAAGTTCTTTCTTAGATACCTAATTGTGCCATTTTTAATTTGGTGTAATTACTAAAAAATCATGNAGGTCAAGAAAACTGAGATGGGCACAGTAGGCCTTGGCCCTCTATGGGCTGAGTTTTAGTTTAGGGTAAAAATTAATATTTAAAAAAAGTCATTGGTTTCAAAAATTCTAGGAAATTCTATAAAATGAGTCTGGGAAAATCAGGGATTTTTAGTGTTTGTGTAATTATTATTTTTTGTAAATTCTACGAAATATAAATTGTGTTTATAAGTATAGCTATTGATTCCCCTTGCCTTCTTACAATTTTTATTTTTATTTTCCAGAACCTTTCAATCGTACAAACACAGCATGTGCAGTTTATGATCAAGATTCATTTAACAGGATTATGAATGCATTCAAAAGTACATGGCTTCAGCTAAAAGCTAAGAAAGATTTAGCTTGTGTTCTGGTGTCATAAGAATTTGAGAAAGTTGAGGTTTTTAAGTTACCTCTGATGTGTTCTTTTTTCTAGAAGTTAATCAAGTGCTTTTACATTTCCAAGTTTTGTTTCCCTGATTCCTATGGATTGTCCAATGTTGAAAGACTTAAGGAACTCATATTTGTATATTTTGTAAATGCAGAGATGAAGACATGTAAATACATAACTTAAATAATTTATTTTGTTCTAAAGAATTAATATATTACCATATTTGTGAATGTTTCTTACATCAAATGTAGTTTTATTTTATTTAATTGCTCAGATCAAGATTTTATTTCTCAACTATCTAGCCATAATCTCCAAAGAAAATGTTATAACTGATTGTAGTTTTTGTCTTGTGAAGTTACATCTTGTATATAATATAATGAAATGATACTTTATACTGTTTGTATATTTTATTGTAAGTAGAATTTAGCAATAAAGAAATTATTTAATAAATGACAGTTAAATAATTAATATTTCAGATTTATCTATTATATTCCATAAAATCTAAAAAAAATGATACTACATTGTGGTATGTAGATTAAAACAAAAAACAAGGTGAATTAAACACTTTAATTTGTGCTTTATTCATGTTGTTTTTTACTTTATTCCAGAAAATATTTTTATGATTTTAAATTAAGTTACTGTTAAAACTCTTCTAACAGGCAAAGAGGTGAATGTACAAATTTGTCTTGTCAGAATACATTTTGTTTAAGTAAGAAATTTATAGTATATTTTGTGTTTTAAACATAATGTTCATTTTAAAGTTTAGTTTTGAATGCTGTTTTAATCCATTATTAAACATCTAATTCCCTTAGTTAATTTTTTAAAAAAAATTTTAAGTTGTGATATATCTGGAGAATTCTATGCTTTTCATAAAGTTTACTAATGTGGCATCCAAATGTGTTATTTGAATTCGTATCAAAATATGCATTCTTTTCTTTTGTTTAAAATATATTTTAACTACTTTTTAGTAAAATCAAATTTTTTGTAAAAACTTCAAACTGTGTATTAGTGATAGGTGATATCATAATATTAACCCCTTAATGGTCACATAATTTTGAGGAAAATGGTCACCAAAGTGCCTATTTCTTTATTTAAGAAAATTATATGAAACTAATACAATAAATGTGTATCTTTTTTAATTTTGGGGTTAATTTTTATTGCGGACATCAAGTTTAAAATGAACTATCTCTAAATCACATTGCAAATAGTCTGGTTTTTCGATTCAAAAATAAACAAGATTCTATGTGTGAGAAATAGATTGTTTTAATCTTTTTGGCATGTTACTTTTGAACACTCCAGCCCAGAAATGTCACTGGTTCAAGAAATAAAGGGCAAAGCTTCACCCCCTCATTTTGACTGGAGTTAGAAAAAAGGGGATGTGTTATTTAATGACATATATTTTTCCATTTTACTAATTTAGAATATTTTATGTTGCAAAATATTTTCTTTACCCCAATTGAAAAGAGATTCAAAAATAAGTCATGATATTCACGATAGGTCATTGGAATACTTAAAAACTCAACTTTTGCAATACTATTAAGAAAGTTACATTACCTAAGGATATACATTATTTACTACCTGTAAAAACCCTTACAACTCACTGAGGCGATCTGGTAATTTTATATTTTGATTTGTGTCTTTTTTTCTTTTTTTTTTTTTGACTTGTTGCTATTAAATCCTACATTCAATAGAATTACGATTTGATCGCTCTATCTAGCATTATAATTTTTAACATAATCACTTCTAAAATGGCATGCTTTCACCTCTGAAACTAACCAACTTCATACATACTTAATAAAAAACTAAGACCTTAAATTGTATGAATATTAATTTGCTGAAGCTTATTAATTTCACATCAACTTATGAGCCAATGGAACAAGTACATGATTTTTTTGTCTATTAACATGTTAACTGACAATCGTGCACTGATGTATGAACTGCTGCTAACATGTTAAAAAAAAAAAAATGCTAAAGAAAAAGTAAAACCTGTCATTTTAAACAATCTTTATTTTATTTATTATTTTAATCATGGACACCGAATTATGAATAAATATTTGACAAAGAATTTGTTTATAATTAAATGCACAAAAGAGCACATTTAAGAAATGCTTCCAAGATCCAGTTTTTATTTCTTCATTTGGAAAATACTTTTAAGATAAAAAATTTTATACCATCAAATAATTATCCTAAATTTCATATTAATTCTGTGCGTTTCAAAATCATTTGTTTTAAAAAAAAATTATAAAAAAGCTTTTTTGAATTAAAAAGTTGGATCCTGGTGGCATTTTAAGTGTAAAAAATTGAAATGTTTTCTTTTATTTGTATTTTGCTATCTTTACAGCATAACCCAGTGTTAAAAAAAAAGTTTATATTAAACTATATTTTTATTTAGACTTTTGTTAACAACAAATTGCCATATTTTGGAGTTCAACTAAAATTAAATAAAGCTCAAGTGCACTTCAAATAATAAAGTATAAAGATGTGTAATTTTTTTTTTCATTTTTAATAGCAAAATTTGAATATAGAATAAATAATTGATAAATTATTTAAAAATACTTTAACAATAATTAACTACTTAAATTTTTTTCAGGGCGTATTTTAATCATTTATGTAATAAAATATTAATTATGTATTGAATTTGTTTATCTTATAATTTGCTCGTTAAATTGAATGAATCATGACCCCATGACAACTATTCATAGTGAAAATTATTCTTGATGAACTGGTAAAAAGATTTTTTTGATACAGTTGTTTTAGTTAGTGAAAATATTATTTTTAAAGCCTTATGGTTTAATTAAAATATGTTCATTTAATGACATTTTTCTGTAAGAAAATTTTCTAAAATTGCTATAATTTTTAAAACTAACCATATTTTAATTTATATAAAAGCATTCCCGCAACAAACATTTCATTGCCATGGAGGTTAAGCCCTGACAATTTCAAGACCACCGACATAATTTGATTTATTGAAATTACATACATTTGCTGACTTGTGTGCTCAATATAGGCTTATAAGTCATTGTCAAGTAGAAAATACAGATAGAACAATTCAGAGAAAGACATCACAAAGAATACATCCAGGGTTACGGCGGGATTCGAACCCGCTACCTCCACGCTTAACAGAGCGTTTGGACCGGCGATACCGCTCGGCCAGGGAGGCCCCCACCGACATAACTGCTGCAATTTGGTGGACATTGTTGCGCACATGTCATCTTTACTTCCCAGACAAGCTAGTAACTATCGATATGAAGCTTCAAACCAGCACAGAGGCTCGAACCCCTTCACGATGACAGCTCGGTGCCTTTGACCACTGAGCCAACGCGGCTCTTTAATTGATATAAAAGAAATGTATTCTAAACTTAATTATTTTTTAACGTTGAAAACAGGCATGATTGATCTGCACATTTGTACAGGGTTGCCAACTACTACATTTTTTGTGAAATATTTTACAAAGTCATAGGTAAAACCTAAAGCATTTATAATTTTGCCAACATTTTAAAATCTTCACCAATCTGGAACAAAATGGTGCTTTTAATATAAGGCCTTATCTTATTAATAGAATAGTTTCACTTAAACTCATGTCCATAAATTAAGGTTCAGAAACAAACGTGACTTATTCAGAAAGACCATTTAATAAACAAAATATACAGAATAAAAAAAAGGCATATATATTATATTCAAAAAGTATATATATATGTATATAATTTTTACTCCATAAAGCAATTATGCAAAATATCTTCTTTAAAAACCTGATATTATATCGTTAGTATGATGGTTAATAATTAATATGTCTCCCATACGATGAAATATAATCCGTATAACACGGCATACTAAGTATCAAATTGTCGAGCTGATATTTTGGAAGATTACTCCATTCAGGAAACAATGGCTCTCCGAAGTTCTGGTACACGTGTCAAAGGTGGTTAACAGGCTGAAATTGTTGGCTAAGCATATCCCACACGTGCTCTATCGGATTCAAGTCAGGTGAGACTGCTGGCTATTCCATACGGGTGAATATCCTCAAATTGAAGGTATTCTTTTACGATATTTCCTTTGTGAGGATCGGCGTTGTCGTCCATAAGCACAAATGCAGTCCCTGTGGCACCCCTAAACAAACGTACATTTTGTTTCAGAATAATGTCCCGATAAATATCGTCTGTCATGATTTCGATTTAATATACCGATCTGTTTTGAAGCCCAGTTTATTTCCACCCCGAACGAGCAATCCTGCACCACTATAACGGTGTCGTTCAATGATGTTGGTAACGGGTACCAGGCGTTCTCCATATGAAAGTCCAACGTGAATCAGACTGCAAGCTGAACCGGGACTCGCCAGAAAACGTCACACAAGCCCTCTGTGACGATATTCACACATTCATTACACGTTCTCTACTCCAGGTAAATCGCTGGCGACAGTTATTGTCGTGAACGGAGCACATGTAAGACGAGCCAGCATATACTCCAAAACGTCTCTAGACAGTTTGCCTTAAAACTATGGTACCGTGGCTGAAGATAGCTGACGAGACAGGATGGATGTTGTGCTCCTTCATTTGGCAGTTACTACCGAAACCAAATACCACGCGTCTTCATTCGGAGTTGTAACTCGGAGGCACTGAAACGTCTAACATTTCATCTGGGAATCATTGCCAATACTAGAAGTGACACTTTGAACGATTCCAAGTTCCTTGGATACTTCCATCTGTGTACTGTCTGTACGCCCACATTTGAGACGGCAGATAATTCTTCCATGTAAAAATTCATCCACAACGCTCTCTGTGCCATAACTATTCGTTTACGGGACTGAGCGTTTTGCAGAACGCTTGTGAAAAATTTTACTTCTTTGCCACCATTCCACATACACCCCTTCCTTGCTGTTGTTGTTGTCGCCTGGTGGCTGTCAGTGTCGCCTGGTGGCTTCCTGTAATTTGCTTATTACTTAAGATGTGTATTTCGCTGGAATTTTTAACCTTAAAGTTGAATTTCCGCGTGATTCTAAATTATCCTTAATTTATGGACCTTCTTAATTTACGGCATTACTTTCAAATTTATGCAATTCAATCTTACTTACTTTTTCTATCAAGCGAGATAGAAAAAAACAATTCATTGGACTTAAAGATTTTGCTCAGCAAAGATAAGGAGCCTTCATGCATCGCTCTACATTTTAAAATAAAATCTTCCATGAATCTGGGAGTTCCTTTTTCATCTGGATTAGTTTCAAATTACTGAGCGGGATTAAGCGTAAGCGGGGCCCTAGGCCATTCACATTTTTGTGGCCCTTAGATTAAATTTTTTTTCACGTATATTTTTCATTTATTCAACTATAAAAATATTTATAAATCTTTTCACTTAAGAAAGCATATTTAAAATTAAAATAAATAATAATAAACTAAATTCTCCTTTATTTTGTTAAATTAGAACAAAAATATTATTATGTTTTATTAATATATATTTGAAAAATATTTTTTTTTAAAGGAAAAACATTGTTTTTCTTAATTTTTTAAAATTTATTTTTAAAAAATCCATTTTAAGGGGGGCCCTAGTAATTAGGGGCCCCAGGCCATGGCCTAATGGGTAATCCAGCATTGGTCGTAAACTCATTATCGGGTCGGCTGTTCAAAGCCCGTAATGAAATATTTTAAGATTACGCTTGTTTTGCTCTATAAATCAAGAAAGCGTAAAACAGCAATAAAAACCTATTTATTTAAAAAAATAGGAATTAAAATATTTTACAGGTTCACTCTTTTAAAAGAGGATTTTCTACAGTGACGTCACTGCCTTCCACTAAGTAACTTACATACTCCCAAGAGCGAGTCTTCCGACATTCGTGTCCACACTTTGTTGAAGAGCATTTCTTACATGGAAACCAACACCCCTCACAAGTTCTATCCAAGCAATCACACATATCAATCTTCAACGTTGTATTTCTTTCATTTGGCTTGCCCCTATTTTTAGCCCTAAAAAATTTAAATTCGATAATTTAAAATTCAATTAACATGCAATAATTAAAATGGAGCACTAAAATTCTGTTGACACTAGAATTATCTTTTTAAATAAACTAGATTGGGTTTAATGTGAAATTTGATGGCACATACGGAATAGCCGTTAAATTCTACGGTGCCACATGTTATTACGGACTCAATGTAACGAAATCAAACGGCGTTATAAACTATCTCTGGCAAAAATAAAAGGATAAAATATCAATAAAGATAGTTTGAGATCGTAAAATACGTTTTTAACTGAAAGGGAAAACTTATTAAAAGAAATTTTTAAAAAAAACATCAGTTTTTTTTTTTTTTTTGGTGACTCATGAGCAAAACATTGCATTTGTAGTGTATTGTTTCGCAATGTTAAATCATAAGAAGAAAAACATCACATTCATATTTTCATTCGTAAATTTGAATTAACTTTCATTTTTTAAATCGAAAATAATACTGCTCTGTGTGAGGCACAACTTCAACGTGTTTCCTCATAAACTTGTTTTAACATTGGAGCCAACTTGTGCGATCGTTGAGAAAATTTATATAAATAACGTATAAATCTTAATCTCTGGTGATAATTCTTAAATTGTTTTACCTACCATGGCAAACCAATAATCCAAGCATATTTATCTAATATATTATGCACATATATCTAAATATTGATGCTTTAAAATGAGTTTTATCATAGAGGAAAATGAAGCGTTATATAGAGAGTGATTATAGTTTTAGTTCTACTTTGATATGGTAAAAGGAAAACTACTGGATCAAAGGTTATCGAACTTAATAATAGTTTAACCCTTTTGACACAGAATTTTTATTAAACATATTTTTTATATTAGTATTTTCAATATTTTGTATTAATTTAGGTTCAAATAAGTGAAAAATATCAGACTTAGCATTTTAACTATTTATGGTTAAGAAAGACTGCATGAAACACCGGCGTCTTTTTCTGCGTTAAAGAACAAAATATTCTAAACAATAAATTTTCAAATTTGCATTTTTTGGCAGTTATTTTGATTTAAGAAATACAGTTATTTATCATTGAAATGTCTTTAATTAACAATATCAGTTATTTATAAACTTTTAAATATGAATGTGAAAGAAATTCTTCAAACTACTTTTCTTGGATTTTATTTTAGTATGAATAATTTCGATAATTAAACAGATATTTTCAATATCTATTAGTCAGCTCTTTTTTTTCTTCAAATAAATACCAAAAATAAATTTTTTTGTTTGTAATTAGAGTGCCATAAAAGATATGTAAAAGGTACACTGATATCCCATCAGCTTCAAAGGGTTAAAAGAGGTCATGACAATTTATTTTCGGTCAAAAAAAGTTCAAATCTCACTATATCGGGGTGGAAATGACACTGAATGCAGTATTGTTAAATGAAATAAGATGTGAAGATATCGGAAATGTGTTTAATCGTTTCTGAAACATATTGCAAAGCATGTTTAATGTAACGTCTACCATTTTCCAAAAGCAAGTTAAATTATATTACTGCACACATTCTCAACTGTAGCTCTCAGCACATCAAAAGGAAATGGAATGTCGGTGTATCACATCTTTCAATTCTGCCCAATTGTTTACAGCATTAATACCATAAACAAGGCTTTTGAGATAATCCTATGGTCAAAAAAAGTAACACAGGGGTTGAGGCCCGGTGACCAAGAAGTTATGAAGTTTCGGCTTATAATCCGATCATTCGTGAAATGATGCTTAAGTAACTGGTGACACATGTACCAATGTCATGTGGAGCCCCGCCCCGTCCGACAGACAGATCATAGTGTCTAAAATGCCACGTTGCTGGAGTTTAGGTATGGCGAAACATTGACGCTAAGCTAGTTACAGTCACCGTGTATGCAACAGGTCCAGCTGTCAACTGCTCCCCAGAGAAAAATTGTCCAATTATGAGGCTAGCTGTCATACCACACCAAGCTGTCATTGTCATAACACACTAATCGGTCATACCACACGAAGGAAAATGCAATAGAATTGGGTAGATAACGAGAGAGATTTGTTTGACCCAAATCCTGCAAAATTAAGAATGTTGACATCGTCATTTTGGTAAAATAAGCCTCATCTTTCCACAAAATGTTTCATGGCCAATGTTCGTCCACTTCATTCCAGACAAAGAATTCCATTACAAAAGATTGTCTAGCAACAGTTACGTTGATTTTGTTGTTGTTAATTTACGTCGCACTAGAGCTGCACAATGGGCTATTGGCGACGGTCTGGGAAACATCCCGGAGGATGATCCGAAGACATGCCATCACAATTTTGATCCTCTGCAGAGGGGGTGGCGCCTCCGCTTCAGTAGCCCGACGACCTGCACGCGAAGTCGACCAATACTTTTGAAGAGACGCAAGTTCGTCTGGGTAAAACTTTTAACAGAAACACTCTTTTCCCTAAGCGTCGAAGCAATGTTAATCAGCGATAGGTTTTTTAATCTGGCTCGTTTGCGCTTAAGTTAACATTAATATTCAAAATCTTTTAAATCATAGAACTACAGAGTACTAAACTACGAGTTAAACTCTAACCTGCAGCCAAAAAAAGCTAGTCATCNGATTGCCACAGAAACAGGCTTCCTTCCCTTTTCCAGATGCAACAATGAAGTAAGTTAGATTCTGTTCCTCATTTGATTTAACAGTATTGCATACAGCGCCATTTCCTAACAGGTGGCGAGTTTCTGAACTTTGTTTGGCGAAAAATAAATTTCCGTGATCTTCAAGAGTTAGCTTCGCTGAAACAGCGCCCACTGCATTGTGCAACGCCCCGCGAATTTTCCACACTTCGGGTCGAAAAGCTGACGTTCGGTTTGTTGTATTTAAGTGTTACAAAATATATTTAGAAGTTTTGCAATTATTATATTTTAATATGTAATTTAGGATAATAAAAAAAAAATCTTCGTAATTTTATTCAGTATCGTAAATTTTACGGCAAAGGACTAAGTGACACAGAAACTCATGTTATAGTTTTTTACACTCATACTAAGATTCTCTTCTTTTGTAGTTTGTATTGCAATCGACGCACTTTCTATTTCGGAATATCTCTTTTTGACATACAAAATACATTACGCGCGTTCAAAATATAATATTAGCGATATTTATTTAATATAGATTAAAGGCATTTGGAATATAAGCCAAAATGGCAGTTTGAATCGGATTGGGCTGGTTAATTGCGGAGCACGTACACACAGGCCATCGCGAGGATGCCGGCTAAATACGGTGCTCTAAACGAAAGGGTTAAAGGACTTACTGATCAATTGGTTTTCCAGAAGCAATCTTATTTTCCCGCATCTTTTTAGCTGATCTAGTTCTCAAACTCTGTAACAGATATAAAGTACAATAAAGATTTGACAAATTTCGAAAGTATAATTCATATCCAATAAAAAAAAATATTTAATATATTAGAAAAATATTTATGTTAAATGAATACGTAGAATAAGCACATATATTTATTTAAAACCACAAAAAGAAATAAGCATGTACTGTTATAAAAATTTTGTTTTGAGAAAATGTCCTTAGATTGTCCATCATTTATGTAAATTTTGTTCTTAAAATTATATTTTGTGAAATTTTCATTAATATTTACTTCATGTAAAATTTATAAAAAAATGCTAGTTTAGAAAAAAAAAAACAATATAAAAGATTTAATTGAACTTGGTAATTTCTTTTCTAAATTCAGAATTTATTGAATTAAGCGAAAAATTCAGAGAAACAAAACATTAAAATTAAAAACTAAATAAATGAATTTTTACAAAGGCAAAACCATTCCGTTTTACCATGTAATCCTGAATCTTCATCGCTTAAAAATATTTAATCGCGCAAAAGGCTCTCGAACAAAAAATAGTTAACAAATTTCTGTTTGTCATTTCTTTTTAAGGTTTAGATTAAGAAAAAAGTTGGTTGCATTTATATTTCGGCATTCTATTCTACGGTTTATTTATATGTACAAAACAAATAAATTTTTAAGCACTATCTTATCTAATAAAAAAATTAGAAAAATTCAACAAGGAACCTGCATGATATATATAAATATATTCCTTAAATACCATACTTCATGCCATTTTATGACGATATACACCAATTTCAGTTCAGTGGGTTTACTAATTTTTTCGTAATTATTATTTAAAATCACGCTATTAGCCATGCCCACTAAAACTCAGTTTTTGTATACGACTCATATTACTCTCCGATACAATGAAAGCACTTGCCGCACCCAGTAGAACATTGATAAAAATTCTACAAAATAACTCCAAGCACTTACAACAAATATTGGTTTAACACGTAGCAATAATTTAATATTTAACACATCATATAAAATATTTTTAATGTACCAAAAGGCGAAAAATGACAGGATTTAGGCAAAGTTATCAAACGTTATTAGAATTTAAAAAAAAAAAAAATATTAAAAAGATTTGAACTGTTTGAAACTGAAATACTTTGTTACAAAGATCATTTTACAGTACTTCGTATATTTTAATTTTGTAAGAATGTTTTGCATTTGATTAAGCTTCTCTTCCCTTCTGTGAAGGAATAATTTATTATGCTGAATTAAAATGTTTATGAAATGATCTTCCGGTTATTATCTTTGTGATGCCACAATAGGCATTGCATATTTCCTAACTTTTAAAATATCTATCATTCCTTAAACTTATTTTTTAAACATTCTTAATTGAATTGTAATTAAATTATATAAATCAGTAAATTTTTATTAAAATTTATAAAAAGCAAACATAAAATATTTTATTCTTTTCTTATCGATCAATGAAACGGCTGACTTTATTTCAATACTAATGTAGACTCATCAATTCACTGTCTAGCCTAATCGAAAACAAAAATCCATTTATTACTCTCTATTTATCTATGTCTCCCTCCTTTTTTATGTCTTTAAAAAAAAGAAGAAAAAGAGAGATTTTTTTTTAAAAAAGAAGACAAAATAGTTAGAAAAAGACTGAAAAAAGATAATTAAAAAAAGACAAAAAAAAAGAGATTTTTTAAAGAAAGACAAAAAAGAGATATTTTAAAAAAAAAGACAAGAAAAGAGAGAGATAAGTACAGAGTTATAAATGGATTTTTGTTTTTGATTAGGCGCGACACTGTATTAATGAGTCTACATTAGTACTGAAATGAAAAGTTAGCCGTTACATTGATCGACAAGAAATGAATAAAATATTTTGCTTGCTTTTGATAAATTTTACTAAAAATTAACTAACTGATTTCATTTAATTACAATTCGATTAAGAATGATTACAAAAAATAATTTTAAGAGATTTTAAAAGCTAGGAAATATGTAATGCCTATCGTGGCATTAAAATCTTTTTTTTTTTTTTTTTTTTTCATTCTTTGAAATGAAAGGATTTTATAATTAAAGATTAATTATTTTTATTTTTTATATTTTAGAGTTAAAAATAATTTTAGAGTTGAAAATAATTCATTTTATTTTTGTGTTGTTGGGCGAAAGAAAAAGTTAAAAAGAATTAAAATAAAAAATGAAAGAAGCTTAAAATTGTTTGCATCTCTTCTTATAATAATAGAATGAAATATTTTAGATTTAAATAGTAAAAAAACAAGACATTTTTTGGGAAAATTGTTTTCGTAAGTACTTTTATTTTAAAATCTTATACATTTTCATTTCCTCTGTCTCTGATCAAACCAGTAAGGAATTTTAAATACAATTCATACTTTAATGTATGTTTTTAGTAAAAATAAACCAACATTTATAAAAAAAAGTTAATTTTCATCAAAAGTTATTGAAAATAAAATACAAATTAAGAAAGTAATTTCAAAAATATTTTTTGCATTTATCAATTTATTTTCTAAACCAGCAAATTTCGAAACGAAATTTGCAATTTAACAATACTCAAATTTTAAAAATGATACTTCAGTTTAATTCTCCGAGAAAAAGTAATACTTCATTTACATCACACTTGAAATTCTTTAAACATTCTATAACACACACGCACGCACGCACAAACACACAAAAACAATTTGCTATTAAGTTTTTATAGTCTTCTTTTTTTTTTTGTTTCCTTGTTTTTTTTTTTTTTTTTTTTTTTTTTTTTTTTTTTTTTTTTTTTNGTATGAATTTTATTTTGCGAAATTCTTCTTACAAACATATTTTAGCTAATAATAGCATAAAATTTTAAAACACAACTTTCGTGTCAAGTTTATTACTTTGAATAAATTCAATATTACACATACGAAAAATTATTACAAATAAATAATTATGAATTTTTTTGTAGTTTTTCTGAGGAGGTCTTAAGAATAAAAAAATAACTAAAAATCAATAAAGGGGTTAAGAGTTATTTGCATCTCTAGTAAAAAATTCAAAATTCTAAATATTAAATATTTCCATTTCTCATCTGGAATCAAACAATTAGGTGAAAAATTTCGAAACGGAGTTCTTATTTCTATGCATAGACCAGTTTGCTCACAACACTTTAGAATAACAAAATCGAAATTTTTGCAACAAAACAAATATCAATTCTCTAATCAAGTATCCTTCTCTGTCTGCATTATATCAAAAAGTTAAACACAATTTTGTCGAAAATAAGATTAAAATAAAACTTCGTAAACAATATCACTTCATCCTATGAGAAGTTTTGGTGGCAGCTATAGCCTGGTTGACAGGGTGCTAGACTCACGTTTATGAGAACGGGAGTTCGAATCCAGCCGGCCGAAGACTCCCAGTATAGTAAATGGTGATTGGTGTACGTTAAATCTGTCGGATCACAAAGTCCAATATGTTCCCATAACAAATCAAAACCTCTGGGGGTACTGAATCGGAGATTGATTATTCTCTGGTTCAGGTCAAAATTAGGATCTGTGGATGTATGAATGGGTCCACCCTAGAAACGAATGTGACGTATGGGTGAGGCAGAATTCTTCGCCAAAGATGTCACGACTGGAAAGCAAGAACAATCACGCCCCCCCCCTGCCTAAATGGCCGACGACGACAGGTTTTAGTTTACCCAGGAAAGGGATTCTGATGTCATAAGCAATCCCCGCCTCGTTTCTAGTCTCGTGAAGTCAGCTTCGTTTTAAGCTAATTTTAAGTTCTGATTTTAAAGAATTCAAGTTAATTTTGAAAACACTGATTTGCTTTTCGGGAGTTTTAAGTTATAGACTATTCAAAATAATCAAGATTACCCTACGCATGCAGGTTCCTCATTCTTCGAAAATTTATTAGAAACATGTTTCATTTTATCATTGTCGTTGAGCAGCTGATCTATATCGATGCATCAGATTTGCATCTATCAAGGTTTAACATTGTAGCCTTCTTTTGAACTCAACTCAGCACAGAAGAATCAAGGAGCTCCTGAATCAAGCATCGGGCAAAACTTGACTAGCCTAACCACGCGTTCAATTCAATTTATTCATTAAACCATTAAATTTATTTCAGTTATTTTAAATAGAATGTTTAAAGTGCAACTAAGAAAGAAAAAATATGAAACACCTAAACAAGTAATGTATTGAATTTCCATCTTACCATTAAAGATAAATTAAAGTTTCAAATTCTAATTGTTTTCTTCTGCTAAATAAAGTATCAAATAGAAAACAAATTTTGGCAAGCTTAAAAAAATAAAGCTGCAAACGATCTCTGTAAATTTATCATATTAAATATTGTTGTTAGTTTTAAAATTTTTAACTAATATAATTTCTAAATTGAAAGACTGCATACTCCAAACTCGTATTTGCTTAAGAAATCTGTTAAAATTAGGTTGAGGTTTAACAGAATTCATAAACTATTAGTATTGAATCCTTAATATTCCATGATATATTCGTAAAAAATCCATCAACTGATTTGTAAAAGAAAAAGAAATTATTTCACTGTGCAAACGATTTTGTATAAATGACTTGTATATATGACTTTTGTATATAACTTCACATGAAAGTGTTTGTAAATGAAAAATTACTTTTTACATTCGAAAATAAATAATAAACTAACATTAACATTCAAATACAAGCTATAAAAGAGATACTGATTGTTTATGTATAAATTAACTTTAAGATTTAAACTTATCAGTGTAAAATTAAATTACATACAGAATAAGAATTCTTACCTGGTTATTTTCCATGATGAGGTCTTTATTTTTGTGTGGTTAATTAACAAGTGAATCGATATTACTTAAAAGAAAATCTTGATTTCAAAGACTAGCATTGATAATAGTTAATTGCAACACTATCTTACAAGCAACTGATTTTGAAAGAGAAATTATATGCTCCTCCTGCGCATGCGCTCATTACTATAACTTCAGAAAATAACATCTAGACGCTAATATCAAATTTAAAAGACAGGTCCTAATGTCTGTAACGATATGAAACTTTATTTCTAGTTTTAATAAAGTAGGAATTAAAGCATGCATTTGAAGCGTTATTTTATGTCAGTTGAATGAATTTTAATAGAGCAAATATTTTTAAATGGAATTTGATAGTAATTGTTCATTAAACAATTTAAAAAATGTAAGGAAAAGTAAATGAGAAATTTCTTGTTTAGCTGTTAAATATTTCGGTTGAAGGAAAGAAGACTTTTTGCTGTGTCCTTTAACTTAAATATGCATTTTGAGCTGCGTGCATTTTCTTAAACGCGCATTTTGAGCTGCCTTCGAATGCCAGTGCTGCATGTTGCTTGGCAGGATTCTATCTGTCGCCAACTTAAAAGTTTCAGTTTAAATTTCTCTTTAACAAGCGCTGTTACGCGTTATTTTTTCATATTTTGTTTCAGTTAAACAACAAAAGTCTTGTTAAATTTATAATTACTGACCTCTTTGATTGTTTAGTAGCTTTAATTAGGTAAAAAGGAGCCTTAAACGTGAAAATAGCGAATCTTGAAAGATAGAAGAATTAAATACAGCATTAAAAAGTTGAACTATAAAGTTTAAATATTACGGACATTTTCATAATGACTTAATGAATTATTTATAATTGTTAGTTTAAGTGAAATAACTATTCCACAATTAAAGATTCTTGATGAACCTATAACTTAATTTGACGTCAAATACCATGAATTGACTAATTAAAAAATATAATTTGAATTTTTAATTAATAGGAATGATGGTTTATCGGATGTTTGAAAATTATATTATTTAATTATTTGAATTTTTAATTCCCAATTTTCGATTTTTTTATAATTGACTGAAAGAAATAAGTAAGATAGTTTCTCCTGTATTTATCGTAGTTGAGTAATTTCTGATTTTTATTAGTAAACACTTTTTTATAGTTTTATATACAAGTTGAATCCCAACTAGAAAGTGGATTTTTTTATTTTGATAAAGATGGCACCCAAATATTTTCAGGCATTTTTATTGATTAATTTTATTATTAAAATATCAACTCTAATGTATTAAAATAGTTCCATTCCAGAGAGGAGCATCGTTTGAAAAAATTTTATTTTTAGCTTACTTTAGTCAAATTAATTTATTTTCAACAATATACGAATTCGGTCATAATTCCTTATGTAAATTTGTGCAAGTTATGGGCTTTTCTGTTTTACCATGGGAAATTATATTTTTTAAAATTATGTAAAAGTTTGTATACTTAAAATCTTAAAATATTTTCAGCTATTAATAAACAAAATAATAGAAAATAATAATTAAAAGTTATTTTTTGCATGGAATTAATTTTGGGTACACAGATTTCATAATTTAGTGTTAAAATTTTAACTACTCTCGAGATATGGCAAAATATGCAAAAAGTAAAATTAACAATTAGAGGTCCAAACTTTAGAACGCCCTTCTGAGCAAACTATTGGAACCATATTTTCCAGATTGCTAATTTTGGTTACCTACTATATTTTGGGGATCAGAAATCCGATTCCAATGAAAAGAAAGGCATGTTTATTCAGAGAAACTACATTTCTGTGCCGAATTTCGTAACTTAAAATATCGTATGTACTAATTAATTAGCATCTTTGAAGTTACCGCCTTAAGCCATGTGTCCCAGTGCGTGAAGATCTTTAGATGAAAAGTTATTCAGGGTGATTTTTTTTTTTTTTTTTGAGCGAGCTGTGCATGCTTAGTTGCGTTGCATGCATATACGTACGTATATAAGTAAGTACAATGTGTGCAAACGTACATGCATTATTATTACATAGCGCATGGAATCTATGTACTTTATGTACATACATACAGTGAATCTCCGAACACATAATTTATACGCTTCACGTCTGTATGCATGTAATATGTATGTGCATATCAAATACCTACTTATGCACGTTCAATGTACCTTCGTGTGTGAGCATATATACAGCGTACTTAAGTTTGTATATGTACCTTTAGTGAGAATGATGCATGTTCTGAGAAGGCATTTCTTATCATCAAAGATAAAAAATGACATCTGCTTAAATTAAAAATTAATTTTAAATAAATATAGTTGTAACATTAATATCTTGCACAATTCTAGTAGACAATAGAATTATAGATGATAGGTAAATAAATAAAGAAGGAAAAAGGGAATCAATATACAAAATATGCTATTAGTTTAATTCAGTTCAGTCAGGATATCTACCATGGACAAGAATCTTAAACGGAAATCTCTCTTAGTAGTTCCGTTAATTACCACTTTTAATTTTACAAACTAATTCATAATTTTGGATTCAATTGAGAAATTTTATCGTAATAATTAATGGAATAAAAATCCTACGCATCTCAATTTTTTAGTTCGAGGTCATAACCTTATGTATGCTAATTAACTTATGCAGACGATATTTCAAGTTACGAAACAAGAAGAAGAAAAAAGAAATTTTTCCTGCATAAAATATCCAACTAACCTACGAATTTGCACTTCATAAGCTTTGCGAATGATACTGAGTAAACATGGTATCCAGTAAAAAGAATGGATATTCTTTACACTCTCATTTCGTTAGTTTATTAAAAAATATAATTTAAAAAATTAAAAGAAAGAAAATTTTAGGTTAATAATACCCTTAATTAAACAAGAGTAACAATTGTTGCAGTTTTTAACTCTGAGATTCTATATGAGATAACTTCTTTTGCCGACGATTTTGTCCTTTTTTTTAAATTATTAGTTAAAGTCAGCTTACGCATTCTTATAATTTTTACATTTTATATTTGAAATTTTAAAGTCCGATGAAATGATCCTAGTCCAAAGAATCAAAGTTAAATGGTAACAAGGCCGATTGTTTCGAAAAAAATTAACTACGAAACAATAATCAAATGAATCATTAATATTCTTGTTTCCTTATTACCAGGGCCGGATTTAAGCTTGGCGGGGCCCTAAGCTACTGAAAATGATGGGGCCCTTTTAAGTTCAATTCTATTTCTATACACCTAAAGTAAACTGTCGTATTTTTTATTGCTGAATATNCTTATTACGAAATATTAGATCAAAATTTGTATTCATAATTTCTTCAAAACATGTGTAAAAACTATTATTATAGGTTATTTAAGTAGAAAAATCCTAATGTTTAGAAAACGAACAATTTTTGAGATGATGATTCTAAACATAGCACGGTTTCGGAATCTTTTTACACTTTTTTTTTATTTTAGTAGCTGTTTAACAAAACAAGCCATATCGAACGTTTTTCTAATATAGCAATATTTTTTTGAATTGTGTTAAAGTTTAGAAGTAATATTAACAACTTTTTATGCAAATATTTTAAACTTTTTAAAAGAAAATGGCAACTTTCTTAAAATTAGCGGGAAAGAATGACTTTGAACGTCAAAATAAAATTGTATGTCCATAGTTTTTTGTTCATATAAAAAACAAAGGAAACTGTTCTATTTATTTGCTGTGTACACATACGTATTTACTTTTAAATAAGAAACAATAAAAATAATATAATAAGAAACAATAAAATAAATAAGAAACAATAAAAAAGACAGTCAATAATTTATCTTAATTTTTCAAAAAAAAAAAAAAAAAAAAAAAAAAAAAAANCTTAGTAAATAGTCAGCTGTTCTGCATCGAATAATTTTGATCAGCAGAATATTTTTAATTTTTTAGCAAGATTTAATTCTCAGCTAGCTGGAAATAATTCGAAGTTTTCTTTCAATAAAAACTCGACAATAATTTAAAAAGAAATTTTACTTTAAAGGAAAACGTAAATTTAAGTACTAAAACAATTGATTAGTATATTAATAGAAAAATAATATACGTGTAGATTTTGAGAAATGTTAAAATTGTAAAAGAATGTTGTTTTGAGAAATGTAAAAAGAGTTGGTAAAATAATTCTGAAAAATACGCACGAACAGTTAATTTTAAGATTGAGACGATATATGAGATGTTGAGAAATTTTACGATGCTTTAACATGATGACTACGTATTCGCATAAATAATTATAAAATATATATGGAAGAAATTGATAAACATATTATTCCAAATCTCTTATATATTATTGAAATTGTATAAATTATTGAAAAAACAAACTAAAAAAATAAAATTAAAAAAAAGCTGATGTTTAATTACAATCTAACAGAAATATGCTTTTATAAAACTCAACATTCGTTGAATAAAATGTATTTATTTAATAAACCACTCTGTTATTAACGAAAAAAATATGAATGAAATGTTACTCTACGCACGTGTAAGTCAAGTTCTTCATAAGTTAAACACATTAAAATATTTCTTCATTGTTGATAAATTATTTTTTTTTTTTGAATAATTAATTTTAATTTTTTTCGATTTCTACCAAATAAAAATAATTGAAACTTTAGATTTTGCAGAAGAAAGATACGTAGATTAATATGATATAAAAAATTTACACCTCATAGTTCAAAATGTTTTCACCCACAATTAAATTCAATAATAAATAATTATTAAAAATTATTTTTTGCATGAAATTTTCTTTGGGTAATTAGATTTCACAAGTTTGTGCACTTTTTTTCGAATTGCTTAATTAGTTTGAAAAATTTGACTAAAAACGCAAAAAGTGAAATGAACATCAATGGCTCCGAGCTTCGGATCGCTCTCTTGATCAAACTATGGGACCTTATTTCCCAGATTGCAGCTACCCTCTATATTTCGAAGTTTAAGAATCCAAATAAGTAAAAAAATATTTATATTACACATGGTTATTATGAGAAAGTGTGTTTTTGCGTCCGATTTCGAAACTTAATTAATAGTTAGCACTAAATAATTTGCATATTTGAGGTCACCCCCAAAGATTGACACTTAGTACGTGAAACTCCGATCATTAGAACAAAAGTTATTCAGGGTGATATATTTTTCCTTTCTTTTTTGATCACTGTACATTAATTGTGAAAAAGAAATCTTTTAAATATTTTCATCTGTTAGCAAGGGCTAATCTATAATTAAAATATAATATTTTTATTGTAGATGCTACATGTAAGTTTAAA